CGGAGCACATTAGGACGAGACATCATTGACGAATCGTATTCTATCAATTGTAAATAATAAATTTGGTGGTGCGGATTTATCCAGCGGGTAAATGGCTCGACCGGCATTTACATGGACATGTGCTTTGACTATATCACACCAGGGGTGAAACTATAACTACGTATCTCGGCAACATCGATTGATCATCAAATAAACTACCGAACGAAACCGAAAATACGTCCATACTGCATCCCGATGACGGTGTAGCATGAATGGTTAGCGGCATAGGTAAGAGTAGGTATAAGTTATTACTCTGTTGAAAACCACCCATTTCCAATAGAGCATCTCAAAATGTTTCGCAGAATTGCTTCTGTGGCGCCACGCAGAGCTTTGTCTGCTAGAAGTTCAATCATTACTGTTCGTCATTTATCTACCTCGGGTATTAGGATGTCCAGCTTGAAAGCTCTCAGTGACCCAATATCGAGACCTCTAGCATCGGATTCATTCCAGCTCGTACCGGAATCGCAGAAAGCTGGCGCGGCTGAAGACGAATTATACGAACAACAAATAAAGGAAGTGGAAGCATGGTGGAATAGTCCAAGGTATGAAGGAATCAAGAGACCATATTCTGCGGCAGATGTTGTCTCAAAACGTGGGAGTCAGCAGCAATCATACCCAAGCTCCGTCATGGCTAGGAAATTATTCAATTTAATTAAAGAGCGGGAGGCAAATGGAAAACCAATACATACAAGTAAGATGAATCATGAGGCTCGGAGCTTGTAAGACATATGCTAAATCAATTGATTCATAGTGGGTGCTATTGACCCTGTACAAATGACCCAACAAGCTGCGAACCAGGAAGTCTTGTATATCTCGGGATGGGCATGTTCTTCTGTGCTTACGACCACGAATGAGGTATCTCCAGATTTCGGCGATTACCCTTACAATACCGTACCAAATCAAGTCCAACGATTGGCAAAAGCGCAGTCAATGCACGATCGAAAACAATGGGATGCTAGAAGAAAGTTAAGTAAGGAAGAACGGGCAAAGACACCATATACCGACTATCTCAGGCCCATTATCGCAGACGGAGACACAGGGCATGGCGGACTTTCGGCTGTTTTGAAGCTTGCCAAGCTTTTCGCAGAGAATGGAGCTGCCGCTGTACACTTTGAGGATCAAATGCATGGTGGAAAGAAGTGCGGACATCTCGCTGGCAAAGTTTTAGTGCCGGTCGGAGAACACATTAATCGCCTGGTGGCTGCGAGATTCCAATGGGATGTTATGGGGTCGGAAAACTTAGTAATTGCACGAACAGACTCCGAAAGCGGAAAGCTTCTCAGCAGTGCGATTGATGTGCGAGACCATGAATTCATTAAAGGCGTCGCAGAAGACGGTATCGAATCATTGGCGGAGACTTTGCAAGCCATGGAATTGGCAGGAGCTACAGGCGCTGAGATTGATACTTTTGAAGCGGAATGGGTGAAGAAAACGGAACTCATGACGTGTGACGAAGCCGTTGTCAAGCAACTGAAGGAACAAGGTGTCTCGGAGTCGAGTATCAACGAGTACCTTGAAGCTACTAAGCAAGATCGGGATATGTCGATCACGAAACGAAAGGATTTGGCTACAAAATACAGCAAAGCCCCAATAATTTTCAATATAGATATCCCTCGAACACGAGAAGGTTTCTATCATTATAAGGCTGGTATGGAAGCTGCCACAAAGCGAGCGATTCAATATGCACCATATGCCGACCTCTTGTGGGTTGAAACCGGAGACCCTAACGTCAAAAATGCAGCACAATTCTCCGGCGAGATTCGTGCCAAGTACCCTGGTAAAGGGTTAGTCTACAATCTTTCTCCCTCATTTAATTGGATGGGTCATGGTTTCACTGACGAAACTCTGAAATCTTTCATTTGGGATATTGCGAAGCATGGATTCGTCTTACAATTAATCTCGCTCGCCGGTCTTCATTCTACGGCAACAATTACCAGCGAATTGTCAAAGGCATTCAAGGATGATGGTATGCTCGCATATGTAAACTTGATTCAGAGAAGAGAAAAAGAGCTAGGTGTAGATGTATTGACGCACCAAAAATGGAGCGGTGCGTCATATATAGATGGCATTTTAGGTGCTATCCAGAGTGGTAGTAGCAGTAGTAAGAGTATGGGTGATGGGAATACTGAAGGACAATTTTAAGCATTTAGAAATGATGATACCCGAAGATAACTTGTTTCTTGTCTACCTGTCTCGTTTGATGTCCGCTTACGGTAGCCCGAGAGGCCCACATTTTGGTTGCATTTGTGATGGCGAGATACCAGTAAACTCAGACGAAATTCATTTGCTTTTGAGCATTAGTTTACTTGTTGAAATCAATCCGGATTGGTTGTGCGGACTGCATGATTGAATGTTTCAGCAAATTTTATAGTCTTTTGCTCGACTTCTGCTTTATTCCACTGCAACAGCAAGGTAGATCATTCTTCGAAGAGAATTAACTTGAGCTCAATCGACTGAGGCTTGGGTATCGGGTTGAACGCATTTCTTGTCTCTGCTTTTTCTTCGAGCGCTCACTCGCAACTATCCGTGCAAGTGTTAGCATAAAAATCTGACGCTGGTGATCCTTTTTTAAGTGGGATTTGGTCTGCCAGATCAGGGGGGTTGACAGAGCTCCCGAGTTCGCTCTCTCCCAATGACTCCCCAATAAGGATGATATGCAAGCTTCAATATACAAAGACCTGCTGCATAATGCTTGAATAAAGGCCTCAACCTGAATAATTATTTTCGAGGACATGAGATACATGACATGTTATGGATGTGAGATTTCGAAGAGATGCCCTATTTGTCTGGAATATTTCACTGTTTTGACTAAGGGGTTGAGGAGACAATGTTGCAAGCTACTGTCCCCTTCAAAATATGCAGCGACGCCATCTAAGAAGCAGAAAGGATGGAGTTAAACTATACTAATTAGACGAAACCTTTTTGGCAAGGAAAAAAAACTGGCTAGCATTTATCTACCAAGGATATTTTGTTTCATCGAACGATTGCAGAGTCCCCGATGTTCCTTCTCTTGTTGCATTATCAATCTTTTCCAGCATTCCTTTAACACTGTCCTCGATTTTGACCGGAGCACTCTCCAATCCAATGGCTGTCGCTCCTGCGTTCCCCATTTCCGTTTGTACCCACCCTGGAGTCAAAACAAAGGCAGTAAGTTTCTCATTTTCGAAATGGATCTTTCGAACCATGTAATTCAATGCCACTTTACTCATTCCGTATGGAGTAGCTGGAATTGGTATGTCCCCCATAGCACCGATACTCGCGAGAGCTGTCGACAAGGCTACGAAAACTGGAGTTGGAGACTTCATCAGGAGGGGAAGAGTGGCTTGGTAGAGAGTTAGAACTCCGATTGTATTGACTTCGAAATGATCCCGTACTTCGGATAGAGGGGTCTCGGAGACCTTGCCGTAGTATTGTGATATGCCTGCATTAGCGATGACTACGTCGATAGATGTAACACTGTGAGTCTTTTGGAGTGCTTCGACAGCTTGAGAAGGAGACAAGTCATCGGTGCTGGAAATTGCAAGCGGAATGATGCGACTACCGGTGGCTGTAGAGATATCAGAGAGAGATTTCGAGCTCGTGGACAAGAGGTCTCGGACGCCAGCTATAACGGTGGTGTTTTGTCGTTGAACCAGAGCTTCTAGAAGACCACGACCGAGTCCTGTTAAAATGGTCAGAGTTGAAGAATTATTGCAGATATGTTTAGATAATGCAAACCTCGATTCGCGCCAGTTATGAGGTATGTCTTTGTGTCAGACATTGTGAGCTGTGGATTTTACTGTTTAATCCTTGAACTGTGAATTCCAAAAAATGTTCCCGAGTGCGACTGCTAATATTTGCTTGAAAAAATGTTACCTAAGTCAGGAAAGAAGGGCATTTTATACTTTATCCACACTTTGCCCCCTAGTCCTTTCCCCATCCCAAGCGCCTCACTAGGAACTCCATTTGCCTAAAACTATCACTTCCATTCAATGACAATGCAAGGGGTACGATGTTAGGATTCGGGTTGAAGATATCTTAAAGGCATTACCACCCTCAAATATGGGTTCTCGATTACATATCTAATGTTCCAGTACATAAATGGCGCAATCTGTGGATAAATAACTTCTCGCTTATGGGAAGTTGCAGCTAACAAGGGTATTTGACTGGTTACCCCACTTTCCCTTTTGGCTGTAGTCTAATAAAAGAGGCATAATACCATCGGCTCCAGATCAACATGATTAATCAAGCCCTTATGAATTCCTTGGATAAATTCCAGGCCAAGCAATTATCAATGTTCAATTCATCCTAATTCCGAAGGCCTTGTTGGTTGTTCTGAAGAATTGACTACCTAGGTACATCAAAGTGCATCTCATTCTTCTTTACAGATCGATCTCCTTAATTCAACAAACATTGATTGTTGAGATGATAGATCAATGGCATGGAATCACCACTTTATGGATATATACGTAACTATGGTCATAGGCAGGGTAGACAGAAAACATCAGCCTGTCCCTACTTTCGCGTCCAATCCATCAAGCATGGTCGAAATGATTCTCGAATAATCTGATATATGTTTTAGTCATGGTATATTTGAGATGACACTCATCCACTATTCACCGTTTTGTAGGCGCAGGGCAGGTTAACCAAATTTCTGGATTTCTTTTGGCATTCAATTCTGCTGTACTCTATTTCAAGCATAGTCATTTATTGCTTGGTACCTATTCACTCATCTATTGCAATCTGATTTATACTCTTCAGAACTTTTCTTTTCTTGGAATCTTGCAAAGCTTTACCACAACATCTCATGGAAGACCTGAGAATTTTGGGTTTTGGATATATTCTCCACAATCGTCTTCGTTATACCCACAATATTAATTGCCATTTTCTTCAAATCCCATCAATTCAGCCTTACAAGAAAATCTGATCTTCTCAACCCCTAAACCCGGAATCCAGGACATCACCTACAAATTTATCCAGATATGTCGACAGCAAAACCTGTGGGTTCTGCTACGGCATATAATCCGGAGCTCGACAAATATGTTGATCTTTACGGTCCACCCATAGGAAGCTGCAGTTCTAGTTGCACAGAGTGCAATGCTCAATACCGTACTCTTGACCTGCAGCCCATAGATCGTCTGGCTTATGCCGAAGCATTGAGCGTCCACGAGGCCAAGACGATCGCGAAGTCGTACGCAGATGCTATCAAAGATGATTTTAAATACCTTCACCGCATGGTTGTCGTTCATGGTAACACGATTATCAATCGCTGGAGAAAGAAGTCTCGCGACAAACGCACCAAAACCTTACAGACAGCTTTCCCTCGCATGTTCTCTACGAAGTGGAACCTCGTTCATGTCCACTACGATTATGCAGACGTCACATGGCAACCAATGCGAGAGTTTCGAGAGACTTTGTTGGTTCCTTGGCTTAATCTTGAAACATTGAGAGATGATCCATACAAGTTATTGGCACTTTTGCACGCGCGCACAAAATATTCTCCCGAACAATGGGTTGCATTCGGTAACCATTCAATGAGAGCAAGTTGGGAGACCGGAGCACTTCGCACCGAGTATGCAGATTGCTGTGTGGTTTTTTATGGATCAAATTATGGTGATATTACTCCATGGAATACCACGAAAGTTCATCAAATGGACATCATCGGCTTTCCTCGTGGAAGACTAATTCTAGAGGCTCAGTCGATTATTCTCAAAACACTCCGAGGTACAGTCGAAGATCTTCTTCTAGGTGTTGATATAGAAAGCTCCTCGAGCAAATGGTATATGCTTGTCGACAGTAATTTTCGTGGCGCCTCCGGCTCTATCGCGTGGTCTAACTTCAGTGATCAAGCTTTCACCGCGCCTATCTTCGATCTTGATCGACTTCTGAATATTTCAAGAGCAGCTTTCCATGAGGCTGAAGATCATCTGTGGCTTCTTCAAACCGATCCAGTTTATTTGCAATATCGTGCTAAATTGGCTAGACAAGGATGGCTGTCTAAAGACACCGGTGATAGATTTCTTCCCAACTCTTCTTGGATGCTCTGTTACAAAGCTTTCACAACCATGCAGAGATGGTCGTGGGTTGTCGACGAGTTTGAACATGCTCAGGCTCAACGCAATAAATTCCGGGATAACATCAACTGTGGTGGAGACTTGCCAAGGAAATACAGCTTAGCTCTTGCTTACCTAGAGTTATTGTTGATCAATCTTCTACGTCAACGAGTCAAAAAGCTCGGCGAGTGTCTCCCGTGTTTCAAAGGATTTTCTGAAGATTACAAGATTTCTGATACAGGCAGTGCTTTCAGTGCTAAATTGAACACTGACAAATTTCCCACAAGCAAAGCAATGTTCTACGGTGATCCTCTTCACTGGTGCATAGTTCAGATGACGGCAGATCCTGAAGATGCAAATAATTATGACGCTTCGATGTTACTTGAATTCTTAACAGATTGGCTAAATAAAGACACGACAACAGCGCAGGACAAACAACGACTTGAGCCACAGATACTCGAAATATTATCCGAATTCGCAACTACCTACGAGTTACTCGCCGCAGTAAGACAACACAGACCTCTATTTAAACCTACAGACATAGACACCGCTCGAATAGAAGGCCGAGAGCGCTTAGCTTGGACAGGGGTCCCAGACGAAGAAAGATTACAAGAAACCGAGTGTTTAGCAGAGTTTCTCAAGATTGTTGAATTGACACCTTTTCCCAAAGGTAAAAGAGATGCAGCGTGGTTAAGAAAAGCAGATGAGGTCAGAAATAACACGTTAGCCTTGTGGGCCCACATGCGAACAATTCATGCTAGCATACTCAAGAAACACAAGTTCTCGACCGAAAAGGACTACAAACACGACATCACTATGTTGTCCTACGACAGTGCTCCAGAGCATCTTCTCGCGCTAAAACTACAAAGAGAAAGCATTCTTCAACCCAAAAAGCCAGTGCAACAACCGATCGCCGTCGATAGCAACTGGGATTTGACTCATGCTAACGAAGATCTTTCAACCTTGAACATCTCTAATCGTTCGAAAGAGAAGACCAAGATGAGACCTGAGCAGCAGACTTCCAGTCAATTAGAAGCTTCCGGTGTGGAAAGCGAAGATGATCCTTCTCGAGAAAATCCACACAAACCCGTTCATATCAAGTCGTCGAACCTACCAATTCTTTTGCGTATGTTCCCCAATAAAGTTGAAGAGTACGCTGCCAAGCCATTGGATTGGAGAACTTTTGTTACAGTCATGGACGACGCCGGATTTGCAGCAATGGAGTCTGGTGGCTCCGCTGTTACATTCCTTAATACTGTTAATGGTGGTAGGATAGTGTTCCACAAGCCACATCCCACTGCGAAGGTTGAACAATTCATGTTGCAGGCGTGGGGAAAACGATTAGGCAAGTGGTTCGGATGGACTAGAGAGTCATTTGTTGTTACATGAGTTAAGGAATCATGGTAAGATAGGGTATGGATGCTCAAACTTTGGGTAATATTGTGGGGTTGTGGCTGAGGTAGAGCAAAGCGAAACGCGCATTTTTGTTGGTTGACTGTCTTAATGAATTTGTTTTATGTATCCAGATAACCACCACTAGTTCTCAATTCCACAATTATCTCTTCTCTGTTTACCACAACACTAGGGGCAATCAAGACTCCGAGATACTGTGTTCCTCCTTTCCTGTCATATAGATAATGGAAAACTATTCTAAATTAATTGATTGATCAGAAGAGATAACTCCAACGTGCAAGTGATAGCTTCCCCTAAGTTCCGGAATACTTCTATCTTGGCTTTTAACCAAAGACTAAATAGCTAATATAGATACTACTACGGAGGTTGATGGGATAAGTCGTGTAAGTCCTATTTTTAATAAAAATTGTTGTTTTACGAAATTCCAATACTGCTTTTATTAATTTTACTAGATATTCAGTTATCCGTTTCAAAATTTCGAATTTTGGATTCTTTTATTCAAATTTTTAATTCTTATAATTTTGAAGCTTTTGAAACTTTTAAAGTTTTTTATAGATTCTAAATAGACTTAGAATAATATTTCTAAAATGAAAAATATGAATTTCGATAAATTTAAGTAATTTTGCTAGGGATAGAATAAATCTATAATACTTTTATTATCTAGAATCTGCTATATAAATTTTCAATCGGTATAATGATATAATTGGTTTAAATAATAAAAATAGGGAAAAGCTCGGTCGCTTTTTGGTGTGTTTTATAATACTTACACCGTCAACCTCTGTACAGAGGACTGTTGCTGAAATTTCTCCGAAGCGGCATTTTTGTCGTCCATGAGCCTGGAAGAGTGCCCCTCGAAAGCTTTCGATGTTTGTAAGTTAGCTGCTGGTTTCTTGTCATCCATTTGCTTCTCGAGAATGTGCATTCTCTCCTTAAAATAGCTAGGGCGACCATCCTCGTAGACAACTTCCAAGTTATCATTTTCCTTGAAATCCCCCATTGGAGCGCTTATCCACTCCCCGTCCGCCATCAAAGCAACACTACAATGCCAAGGGGTTGTAAATCCAGTTTTTGTATTAAGTAGACTCATGGATATCTTGTGATCGCCTGTTGACTGATGGATAGAAAGACGTAAATGGTTTGGGAAAGCATATTTGACCGCTCCTGCAAAAGCCTGTTTTCGGAAATTTAGCAAAGTGAGTGGAATCCTGGGCCTTGGTAGTATTTTTACTTACATATCCTCGAATTAACGCCTGTTTAGCGAGATATTTCACGTCTTTCCTGTAATTGGTTTTACTTCGACCGTTGCCAAGGGGGAAAATATATCGCAAATCTGACTCGAGGAATCTTCGATATCCGAGATAAGTCATTTTTGTATCCGGGTTGTTGGCGATCTCATCTTCAATATTGATGTCCTCTTTACCCCATCTATTAATCATAGATAGACGAAAATTGGTGGCATTAGCAACGTAAGTAATCTCGTCTAACTTTTCGGGCAATGGAAAATTGACAAGATCTTGGATTCTAGAGAAGCCGATATGGTCGAAACCTTTATTGACAGACATTGCGCGCAAGGCCTCTCCGTATGCCCATGTATCGCGATCTGATATACATACTAGATCTGGTATTCAATTAGCCGGCAATTTGAAGGAAGACTGGTAAAGAATAGGTAGGAGATAGACAAACCATTATAAACGAGTCCATCTGAAATTATTGTACACTTGGCTCCAGGCTGGTACACTTCTCCAATGCGCAAACACATTGTATTCAGTCGATCAAGAGCAATCTCTTCGGCTTTGTCAGGTAGAATACCGAAGACCTTATGCACCTTGTTTGATGACTTGAAGGGAAATGCCGGAAGGCACATTTCCACCGGTGTTCCACTGCTGACGAACTTCTCGATGACTGACAAAAACTTGGGCCTACCCGCGCTATGTCGATCCTTGGTGTCATCGAATTTATTGAGGGCGTAATCAAAGATAATATCCAGAATTTCGTTGCATACCACCGTGATGGAAGGATTAGTGGTAGATGACATCGTGCAACACTTCTCCATAATGGAAGACCTTTTGGACCAAATGATAGTATCTTGACACAGAACAGACTATTCGACTTGTATTCCAAGCCAGATCTTATGGCTAAGAATGTATCTCTTTGAAAGTGGTTCGTACGGGTCGATTGTAAAATTGATCCTATTCAATGCACAAGAACAAGACTAGAAGCAGTGATATGGAAATTGATATCTGTCAAACACTTCTCGAGCATGTCTATTATATATCTCAGAACTACCGGATTCTTTTGGAAAGTTTGCTGAACACTAGCAAGGATTATTACTTTAAGATTATTTTAGAGCTAATTAGATTGCTTTTAAATAAAATAAAACACCTCAAAATATTTGATAAATAATCCATCTAATAAGCAAATCAATTATTTTTGATACTTAATACAACCCTAACCCACAATGAACTTAAATTCTGAATCCTTACTAGCGTTCAGCAAACTTCCCAAAAGAATATGATATAGACAGCCTCACTCGGGATAGCTATCAAAACGTTCCATCATTGTCAGTAGCAGCCTTGAAAGCCATTGTATAGACAAACTCTAAGTAACAGTTTTTGAAATTCCGCAGCCGCATAGAAGTCAAACTTCTATTTTGAGACATTTGATTTCATTTAAAAGCAAGCCAATTAGCTTCAAAATAACCTTAAAGTAATTAACCTTGCTAGCGCGTGGCCTATTTGTCAAAAGAATACAGTAGCTCGACAGCTGTCAAAATGAAGATTCGGATTTCCGTGCATTGCAGGTCGATTTCGAGCCAAATCTAACCTTCTTGGCTCGACCTTTCGATTTTTCGGATGTCCAAAAGTTCGAGAAGGTGGGTATCGACTGATATCGAACTTGTATGGTTCGTACGGCTCCGTATTTTCGGCTCGCCTTGCCTTCCGCGGAGCTTCTCGGCAAAGGTGCTTTCGAGAACCGCCTTACAGAAAAACTTGGCTATACCGGACTGGGATATACCGGAAACTTGGATATACCAGACTTTTTTTTCCATTTTTTCCTAAATTTATATGGGGATACCGGAATTCCGACAAAAACCGGTATACCGGACTAAATTGACTGAATTCCGGTATAAACTCTTATTATTGATCAATATGCTACGTGCTAAAAGGGGTGAATCTTCGAATATAGCGTCATCGTCGTCGTCGCCGTCGTCGAAAAGGCCGAAAAACGTCGGCCACCATGGTCCTCGAATCAATTCAACAAATCAACAAAAAAAAGCTTTAAGAGCATAGTGGCAGGACCCTAAATACGGGAAAAGGAAGCATGATGATGCGATAGCATGGTATAAAGCTCAATATGGTGTAGAGCTAAAGAAGTCGACTATTAGTGATCTTTTAAGTAAGAAATTCGAATGGTTCGATACAACAGAGCTCACAAAATACGAATTAAGTCAATCCAAAACTCGACCTCCTGCCTACCCTGCTCTCGAAGAAGCTCTGCTTGAATGGCAGATTCGATACGATCGTCACCCTGATGCAGGACCTACTACGGGCGATGTTTTACGTCTTAAAGCTACAGAATTCTGGCAAAAGCTCTCTGAATATAAAGATAAACCTCTGCCATTCGATGAGGGGAAGACATGGTCAACTGGGTTCATTGATGGCTTTAAAAAGCGGAGTTCTATGAAAGAAAGACGTCGATTCGGTGAGGGGGCTTCTGCAGATATAGGCCCGGAATCAGAGGCTATAATGGAAGAGATACGACGTATTGCAGCTTTATACGATGCAGATGACGTCTACAATTGCGATGAAACAGGGCTTTTTTGGAGAGATAGGCCGGATCGCACGCTTTCTACATTCGAATCTGCCGGCAGGAAAAAGGAAAAAGCTCGATTGACAGCACTCCTTACTAGCAATTCTACAGGCACTCATAAGCTCCCCCTATGGATTATTGGGAAAGCACGTACGCCACAAGCATTTAGAAGAGAGGGGTTGACAACTCTCGATGGTTTAGGGGTGAAATATCGATCGAATGCGAAGTTCTGGATGAATAATGGTATATTCGCTGAATATCTTATATGGTTCGATGGTATTATGAGGCAGATGCATAAGAAAGCTTTGCTTATTATGGACAACTTCTTTGCACACGAGCTAGCTGTCACTACTCTTATTGAAGCTGGCAAACTACGCAATACGAAGATTATATGGTTGCCCCCAAATTCTACGTCTAAACATCAACCTCTTGATCAGGGTATTATACAGAATTGGAAGCTCCATCTACGACGTCGATCTATCAGATTTATGGTTCAATGCTTTGATAAAGATCTGCACTATTCTAAAGAGCTTGATATTCTACTAGTGATTCGATGGGGGATATTAGCTTGGGAAGACGTCAAAACTAGTACCATTTCGAATTGCTGGGATAAATCACAGTGCATCAACCTGGGATCGCAACCTGCGACGCCACTGACGGTATGGCAAGGTTCTGAAGAAGCTTTAGAGTCTTTACGCCTCACTTTGATACGTTTAAAGCACCAGGGCATTATAGCTAGTGTACCAGATGATATACGAGAGTATATTTCACCTTATTCAGAGCGTATTATTGAGAATGATGACAATCTTGATACTCTAGTTGATGATATTATTGAAGCTAGAGAGATGGTTGAGGTGGATGAAGAGGATGAAAAACGAGAGGAGGAGGTGAAGCCTCCTATTAGTCATTTTCAAGCTCTTGAAGCTATTCAGATTCTAATTAAATATCAAGAACAGCAAGGTGTTCCTGATATGAGTCTAATTAAGAGTCTACGCAAGAGAGGGTGTGAAATAGAGCTTAAATCTGATCAAGGGAGGGTACAGGAGACTATACTAGACTACTTTAATATAGAATGAAGTTGATGATTTTAAGCCGCAAAATATTGATGCCTTGTTGCCTCACCATTTTTATACCGGAATCCTCTTTATACCGGATTTGATTGGTCTGAAATCTCAGTCCGGTATAACCAAGTTTATCTGTATTTTCATCAGCTGGAAGAAACTTGAATTTATCCGACGAATTGAATTTGAAGATCTAAATATATCCAGATGCCAAATTTATCACCAGCCCACCCGCTTCACCCCTCGGCTCGCAGGCTCATGTACTGCCGTAAAGCTACCAATACGGACCCATGACTTCACAGGCTTCTCACTTCTGCGGACTAGAATTGATAATTGAACGTCGGACAAAATTCCATGGAAATCACGAAATGAACCGAGTTCTGTCATGCAGGTTCCCACCCGGCCCGAGTTACACTCAATTTAATGAAGTGTTTCCAAACCCTTAAATTTCAGTATTTCAACAAAAACACCTTATTGTTAGATTTCCTAATTTCAATCTACAATATCTTCATTAATTATCATTCAATTCAATTGAAAAGTCAATCAAATGATAGCGAATGATTGATTATACTATTAATATAAATTTCAGATAATTCAAGCTCTTTTTAATTGAATTAGAAATTTCAAAGCGAAAATTCGAAAACAATTAAAAATAGTTTGGAAACATATTAATTTTCAGTTTCAAATACTCTATCCACCTCCAACTCTACAACCATTTTTTCAAATTATTTATAAAATTGATATATCAATTCCTCTAATTGAGATATCAATTATTCTAAAGAGTTTATTAAATCTAAAAATATATTAATATAATTAAAGATAATTAAATCATTTTGATAAAATTAATGAAATATAAAAATTCGCTTTTTTTTTGGAAACAAGTTATTAAATCGGATATACACTTTCGTCAGGGGCATCTCATCCCCCCACTAAGCTCACTCCCTATTCCTACGAACGACAATCAGAGCAAACTGAGCTCTATATCCCTTACGACAACAATACCATTACGATAAGAGGAAGAAGAAAAGGAAGAAAAGGAGGAAGGATATTGCATAACGGAAGAGAGATCAGCTTGCCTGATAGGAGAAAGCTTTTAGGTTCCAAAAGGCTGGCTCTACTCGCCCCATCAAAGTGTATGCAAATGCTAATGCCTAGCTATTCAAATAAGCATTCAACCACACTCCCCTGATTATTAGCTGTAAAGGGGAGCACAAAACCAGATTCACTCGTTGAATCTACTATTCTTTTCTTCAAATCAATCTCTAAGACGATCACTCCAAGCTCAGCGATCGTGATCGTAAAGGAGCGAACAGCTCCTCTCATTGATATTAAACTATCAGATTCAGGCGATACAGGAGGAACTGGGTTTCCCTTTTGAGGTTTTACTAGCATACGCATCAACACTCTTCTGTATTTGTAACTTTTTATCCTGGCACGTCTAAATACCCTTCGGGAGGTTCAAAACAGATGTTAATTAATATAAATAAATAAATAAATAAATAAATACACTTTCGTCAGCCGTATAGCCTCTTGGTGAATGTCATCCGGTGGGGTACATATTTACGATTACAAATTTGAAATTATCATTTTTTGTCAATGGACGCACAAAATTTATCTGCACTGGAATACATGTATTGATCTCTCTGTAACCATGCAAAACATCATTATCATTGGCTTTGCTTTTCCTTTTGAAGATCAATCAAACATTTGTAAGTCCTGTGCTTAAATAGTACTATCATATCTAAAACGGTGTCCAAATATAGCAAGGAAACCATTTACCAAATTGTGAATGATTTAGCTGTCGCCGAGCCAGATCGTATGTCATTCTCAATGGCGAAATTCTCTGATCTTCCACATAAGTTTTGACAGACCTTTATGCTTGCACATTTTCCTTCGTGAAGGAATCAAAAAAGGCCATGATTGCTCTACGTTCAGCAAGATGGTGCAGTGAATCCCCTCCAAGATGACCTGAAATTTGGACATAGACTAGGTAAGTATTAAACACACAGACAGAATTCCGATACGATCGATTGACGATATTGGGACCTGTCCATCACAAACGGAACTTTGAAGCGTACTCTTCAGATGACTGACCATATGAAAATAATTTCCGACTTACCACGTTGAACTAGAGTGCTACGAAGGCTGGCTGTGTTGTCGCCAAGCTTTCATCTGGCTGCAGCGGATGACAATTACATATCATTCTCACATAGGACTCGTTTGCTATTGAAATAACAGCATTGATGATAATTATCTGTCTCAATTGAACCAAATCGCATTCAGTATATGGATTAACCTCCACGATCTTCCAGTTTACATCGTACTGTTTTGCCCTAATACCCAAGCTAAGCTGGCGATGGATTGACCTCATCATTAGCGATGAGGACTGAGTCTAACCAAGGGGCTTCTTCCGCATGCTTCCGGAAAAGTTACCAGTTTTCCTATAGCACTTGTGTGTTAGAAACTTCGTCAAGCCCGTTCTTTGAGCTTCCGAAGAAGCAAGTGACGATTGATCGTGATTTCCTACGGGCAACGATGCAATGTTCAATTGAGCACGAAGAAATTAGGGACAAAGCACGCTGCCGCTGATTTCTGACTCATGATATGAGCCAGGAGAAATTGAGCAAGCTTACTTCCGGAGTCGAAACAAGAATCAAACATTCCAACGCAGATAGCTATCAGAGTGGAAAGGCAAACAATTGACTCTCTCTCTGGAATAGTTTGTTTCGGGAAACTTTTGTCGCCTCTGCAAAGCTAGGGTCTTTGAAACCCCCGTATAAACCCACCATTTTGGCAAGTTATCAACCGCCTTTTGAAAGATAGAAACCTAGACGAGGGTTGAGTTATCTTCTTAGATAGATATAACACGTACGCAGTAGCAAAAGAACCCGTTGAGTTCTATCCTCCTTGGCCGTAGAAATGGCGTTTCAGCAGCTTATGTGGGGCACAGAGAAAGGAAGGAATCTCATTAGTTGCCAAAGTGCGGCTGATTCGAATCTGTACTTAAAAACTTCCTCAAACTTGCTCATGCTTCAGTTTTAACTCGGTTTTATTAGGTAGCACGATTTATCTCCGGTGTGCCACTTCCCATGACAAGTAATCGGCAACTGCAACGTGAAAATCTTCAGAAATTTAGTATTGGCTCGGGCTTCAACTTTGTATGATTACCTAGCTATAGAATCAGAAGTCTTTAAAATATCATGTCTTTGCTGTGTTTAAAGACGCTTCAATATGATTGAGTGGAAAGAAAATCTCATACACTGTTGTATTCATCATCAGATACTATTCCCCGGCTAGAAGCCCCTGTACAGAAATTGAGCATATTAGCGCAAGTTTGATCATGAGTATGCAAGCTAAAGACCTCCTGCATTGCTACCAGAAAATATCTATATATCTTCCCACGATTTCCAGGATGGGATTAAAGAATCTACAACTCCGCTTGTTGCTCAACTTAACTCATAAGGGGTTTTCATTTGCTTCTTATTTCTGCCTCGGACAGCTCGTCGCTCATGCATAATAAGTCTGTCAAAGTTCACACCAGTTGATTATGATACCCTAAAATGAAACTTGTGCTGAGAGGGACCTTAGAAGGCTTGAGATTAGCCAAAATACCGTTAATGTCAATTCCTGCGAACGACATGTAGACAACACATTATAACAAGGCGTCCGGGAGATTGAGGTCGTAACTCTGACAAGCTCGAGGACCTGGCTCGTCATCGCTTATGTTATGATCTGGATCACCTACTTCGTTCAAGGTCTGGTGTCTGGCGTCAGTGGCTCTCTCCTTCCATACATCACGTCGGACTTTGCTTTACACTCCCTTACGCCTACTACAAGCATACTGAGCGCTGTTATTGGCGGAGTGACCAATCTAAGCATTGCGAAGGTTCTGGATATCTTTGATCGTCCTCAGGGATATATTCTCTGCGCTTTGCTGTGTACTGTCGGTCTTGCTATGTCAGCCAGTTGTAACAATGTCGAGGCGTACGCAGCATCTCAAGTCTTCTACACAGTCGGAATAAATGGTATAGGATACAATCTGAGTGTCTTCGTCGCAGATACATCCTCACTACGGTATCGAGGTCTGATGCAGGCATTTGCAGTTCCCCAAATCTGATCACTTGCTGGCTAAGTGGGCCGATATCAACAGCCTTTTTGAATGGACCTGGCTGGCGCTGGGCCTATAGAACGTTCGCCGTTCTTGTTCCACTTGTGACTTTTCCGCTTTCTGGCCTTTTTATGTGGCAGTTTTTCAAAGCTAAGAAGCTAGATCTTATACCAAAGAATGATAGTGGACGCACTACCTGGCAGTCTACCATTTACTACTGCCGGGAGTTCGATGCTGTTGGTCTCATTCTAATATCTGCTGGCGTCGCGTTCTTTCTATTACCATTCAACCTTTACACTATTGAGGCCAAGGGGTGGGGATCTTCCCTTATCATCTGCTTCCTAGTCTTTGGAGTCGTATTGATCATCGCTTTCGCCATATGGGAGAAGTTGTTCGCCACCATATCATTCATTCCATGGTCTCTCCTCAAGGACCGTACAGTCTTTGGTGCTTGCCTCCTCTCCTTTACACTATTCGTCAGTTACTCCTGCTGGGCCAGCTATTTTACCTCTTTTCTACAAGTTGTGAACAGCCTTAGTATTACCGAGGCCAGTTATGTCATGCAGACGTACACTGTCGGCGGTGTCCTGCTCGCACTCGTCACTGGCGGTGTCATCAGCTTTACTGCACGATACAAACCCATTGCACTTTATTTTGGTGTTCCACTGACGATCCTGGGCATGTCGCTCCTGATTTACTTTCGTCAACCTGATCAAAAAATTGGGTACATCATTATGTGCATGATCTTTATTTCGTTTGCAGAAGGGGTCTTGGTCATCTGTGCCGAGATCGCCATCATGGCCGCCGCCGCAGAGCAACAATACTTCGCCGTCAGTCTGGCGGTGCTAGGCTTGTTTGGAAACATTCGTTCTGCTGTTGGTCTAACCATTTCGGCTGTTATTTGGCAGGGTATATTGCTCAAGAAGCTTTCTGAAAATTTTCCAGATATAGATCAAGCAGATCTACTCCTAATATATGAGTCCTTACCGACGCAATTGTCATTCCCGCCAGGAACGACTGAGCGCCTTGCGATTCAACACGCCTATAGTGACGCGCAGAGAGGATTGTTGATTGCTGGTACCGTTGTCTGGGTTAGCGGGTTAGCGGCGGTCTTATTGTGGCGGGACATCAGGGTTATTGGTATTCGCCAGACGAAGGGCCAGGTTGCTTAAGCGATAAGTTCAATCTCAATACATAGATTATCTGCAATGAATACACGCGTATAGTTTCCAGTGCTCCCATCAATAAGATATAGTAATCGTCTTTGTACACCAACTCTTCTGTGCTTCGTTGGATTCGTAGCTCATGGACGTTATTTTTGCGCAATTTTCGGGAAAAGGTCGTGAAAGGGAGATATTGCATATCTTCCGTCCTGAGTTTGAGGATCGAAGCTCTTATTTCAGGAACAGACACTTTGTAACCACAAGATAAATGAAAGCTTGAAATCGGCCGGCTCGTTGCAACTCAGCAAGCGGGTCCAAAGGATTGTTTGACCCACCACGGAGCTCTTGAACTCATCAAAATAACTCCATATGATTATCTTGTTTAATCAACAAAACAAGATCGAACTTAATTCTCACATCATATGAGTCTATTCAATCCTGCAAAGTTGTTGATCATGATAAAAACAAGAACGAGTCTCCAATTGCATTGGCATGTTCAAGGTCTGACATCGATTAGTAACGAACACAGAGGTCTTGGCACACCTCCACAATAATTCTACCTGAAAAGCAGGGGGCCATTGCCTTAAACAAGTTAGATTGGGTTTGTAATCAATCGTTCAATGTCAGCACATTCCAAAACAGCTCCTGCATCGCCATTATCATATTTAACAGCTAAAGAAATTAAAATGACCTGACGTAATCAGCCTCCAATTTGCTGTACAATGTTGCAGTTGCCAAAGACTATAAATTTACAGTAGCGTTACCCACCGGGTGAGTGTGTAAATGCAAAAATCGTGAACTCGAGGCGTCTCAAAATCTTGAAAAAATGATAATCAATACTCTGCCCGAAGATGGAAAATACGCTTTTATAACCTCGACTCCTTCTTATTCGGCAAAAGGGAAGCAGGAGACAAAGACCCTAGTGCGAAAACATGTGATGCGTCCATTCATGAAACAAAATCGGCCAAAAAGGGCAAATGGTCTGAAAAGCATTGCGCCAAGGTCTTTTGTTGGTACGTCACCACTGCAGAAATCTATCCCACACGCGAATAGAGAGGAGGTAGACACAGAAGCAGAAGTAGGAAGCGAAGTTCTAATGGGTTTGCAAACCAATTCGATGGTTCTACTGGGAAATGGCCGTGTGAATCCCTTTCAAGCATGGCCAGTTAAGATGGATACTCAAGAGCATGAGCTGGTGTATCACAGTAAGCTCTTCCAGGTTGGCCAATTTAGTTATTAACTTTCCCCAGTCTGGGATCCATCACAATGCTTCCAGCCATTCAGAGACTTCTGGTTCACGCTCGGTACAAACGATTCTGCAGCAATGCACTTGATGTTGTCTAATGTTGTCCTACACCTCAATACCCTTAAAGGAAATCGAGACGAGGATCGTGATTCGATTATGTACCATCTCTCGGCTGTCAGATCCGTAAATCGAAGATTAGCACATTTTGCGGTGGAAAATTCAGATGGAATTCTGGGAGCTATACTTGGCGTGCGTTTTACATGATATACCTTTATTTATTTATTGATGATTCTAACTCAGCATAGTTTATGTGCCACGACGTAAGACTTTCCGCAATTTTGACATAGCATCTACTGAGTCTACTAGCATCTTCTCTCTAATCCGGAGAGGTGGAAGATCCACCAGGCTGGCTTCTATAAAATATTGGGTCTGCGAGGCGGACTATCAAGTATCGAAAATATCCCACCAATGCGACTGTCTTTGTTTTGGATTGAACATAATATGTCTAGCGACTTGGACGTAGTTCCTCTTTCTCCTCCACCTGTTCAATATCTTACGAATCCTTATCTTCCAAGGTATCAGACTGAGGGCGAAGCTTATTTTCTTAGCATCTGTGAGCACTCTGATATCTCATCTTTTCTTTCTGTGGGTATACTCGATATCATGAAGCAGTTGAGTATCCTCACAGTCACGATAGCTCGTGAGAATGAAAAGAGAAATCTATCGAAAGATGCGCAATTTCTTTGGGGGGACCAGAACTTTGCTGGTCTGTGCGTCTATCCGATCTTGTCGAGACTTTTAACTATACAGAAAGAGCCGAAGCATAATATCGAAGAGTTGTGTAGGATTGGCGGGCTTCTGTTCATTGCGCAGACAAGAAGATGGTTCGGCGTCGCGCCCGTATTGACCAACGTGTTTATCACCAAGCTGCGTCGAATACTGGAGAGCGATGGCGACATCTGGAATACCAAGGCGAAGAGTCTAAGAGTATGGACTCTCGTTATGGCTGGCTGCACAGCTAATACAGAGGATGAGAAAGCTTGGGTAGCTGAAACCCTCAAGCGGGATGTCTTTGATTGGTCCGAGTTGGAGGACGTGAAGAATATGTGGTGGATAGATGAAATATTCCAGGTTGGGCTGTTGAATATCGAGACAGCCTTTTATTCACTCCAGGAGATTAAGTAATTATCAAAAGAAGTTACTATCTTTATCTACACGGTACAGAGAATTTGATCAGCAGATACCTAAGTCAACAAGAAACTTTTCTCTCTGAAATCGGGCTTTCTAAGCGGCGCACGAAATAAGACCAACAGAAAGGTTGCAAAATTAAAATAAAATACAAATCGAATGGCGAAACAAGTAATTTATAATCAAAATTTGTTACTGGAAAACCAAATTTGCTGCTTGACGCCTTTAAAAACGTGTTACAGGGCAAAGAGCCTTGTTACTTTACGTAGTGACACTTCAGAATACAGGATGTCTGGCATAATCCGCAATGGAGACTACGTGGTATCATATTAACCATGCTACAAATGTAACTAAATATCAGTAAGATGACATTGAAGGGCACATAAATGAGTATGAGATTTTCTGACTGATCTTTTACCAAAGTTATCCAACTACACTACGTCGTTTTCCTAAGTTCACTAATCCCCTCTCGGATTCTAGTGCTGAGCATTATCGGCTCTTTCTGAATAATCATCAACGTCTTCAACTTTGTCCAATCGAGTCTTTTCCCGGTTTCAGCCACATCGAATGTCCACAATAGTCTCGCAATAACAAGCCGAATCTCTGCCCAGGCCAAGTCTTTACCAATGCAGTTAGAGTGACTAATGCTAAAAGGCTAGCTCACTGAAAGATGATCATTATCGAATCCGGATGGTCGACTTCCTATCGGAAGCCAGCGTTCTGGGTGAAATTCATTTGGAGAAGAGAAATATTTCTCAGAGCGGCTCATAGCGTAGGGTCGGACGGAAATACTTGTTTACGATGGTCAGTAACATTGGAGTATTGGGTTAAATGAAGAATGCTTACCCTGCGGGTACAAATGTATCGGCATATGTATCACCACCTGGGGGAACAATTCGAGGAAGACCACCCGGAACCGGATTTGTAAGTCTCAATCCTTCATTTATTACCGCATTGAGGTATGCAAGACCGCGGAGTGTCGCAATTTTGATGTCCTCCTCACGTTGAAACGTCTCTCGAATCTCAGAGACAAGTTTGTGCAATTTATCTGGGTTCTGAACCAAGTAAAGTAACGTTCCTAAAATCGATGTTGCGGTTACGTCTATTCCAGCCACCAAAAGAATGGCCAAGTTTGACTGAGTTTCCTTCAAAGAAATCTTGTGGAAGTCCACATTATCTTTCATGAACGAGGCAACAAAGTCCGGCTTTTGCTTTTGCAGATTTAGGCGTTTATTGATCCGATCATTCGCGAACTCTGAATGTTTTCTTTGCATCTCCATCACGCTTTTCGGGAGTAATTTGAAGACCATTGTCTCGATGAATGGATACCATCTTGTGGCCGCTGCATATACCATTCCTCTTAGAAAATTATTTAGGGTGTTGGCCCAGGGATGAAGTTCGCTGTTTGCTAAACAACCAAAAGACTCGCCTAGCGCAAGTTCGCCAACAACATCGACTGTGAACCAGCTAACCCATTGGAAGACATCTATGATTGTGCCATTTTCTTGGGATGTGGAACTCATGAGTAAATCATCCAAGCGATCAATAAGTAAGTCTGCGAAAGACTCCATCAGAGGAATTTGATTCCGCAGACTAGTCTCGGTAAACGAAGTACTGAGCGCTTTTCGAAATCGAGCACGTCTCTCTGTATCAAGAGACGTAACAATATTCTGAGGCATCTCATCCGGTGCTTTCGATACCATCAGTAAAAATCTCTTCAATAGATAAACCCACTTCACGTGTACCTTTATACCATACAGGATCCTTAGTAGGATCTGCATGACCCGGTCGATGTACATAAATATCATTCCAAGCTTCTTCCTTCGTGAAGGATATTTCATTTGGAGCCAAGCGAACTACTTCGCCATACTTTTCGTGGATTTTCATCTGGTCTAATACAAGGTTACCTCGCACCAGAGAGATAATATATGGTAATCGACTTGATCTCCATAATATCGGACCTGGAAATTTTCGTAAAGGGTGGAAAAAGAGATTATATATCACGGTGGCTGTTGGGTACTGTGATGTTTGCGTGTTAGCACGAGGATTCATGAAATCAATAAGTGCTAAGGAGACGTACCAGAATGATCGCTGCAAAAGTCAACAGCAGTGTCGAAGACAGATTAGGTCCCGCGAAATCAATCATGATGGTACTCTCAAGTAAGAACTATTTCTTGAGGGCATTTCCATCAACTGAAAAATCTTGTATTCAATACCTGTTGAGTTCAATAATGGGTTATGTTAATCCGCAATCTGATTATGACAGATTCCCCGCCCTGTGGTTGGTTCAACACCAGGACATGCAGTGATCCAACATTTTGATAAATGTTGGTGTTGAACTTCTATCATAGATACAAGCAATGAATGATTTCATGACGACACTTCCGTCAACGGCCTTTTATTTGTAGCAAAATTTCTCAAGAGCTTCGTTTTCCTTGTTTGTCATGAAGCTTATAGGTCATCCTCTCTGGCAGAAACTCTGAGGAAATGCCAGGACTTCCCAGCCTTGAAAAGGGTTTCGAAGAAAGTCTATGAAGGAATCCAAATATTCACATGTGGAATGATTCCTCGCAACAGATGAAAAGCTGCGTTATGTTTTAGAGTTAAATCATACGATTAGGGATGGCGTTAATAGTTTTTGAAACTATCTGTTATATACCAACTGCATGATATGTTAGTGATAGTATTCAAACTCTGCATATATTGCTCTTTTTGAATGTCAGCTTTCATTTAAGGTAGGTTGATAGACATGTATCTGCAACCAATTGTCTGGTCATTTCAAAAATGAGTTGTTAGCTGTAGGTATAGTACCGGAGCGAGATTGTAGAATTAGCAGCCAAGCATAGAGATATGATACAGAAGCTATCCTCTTACAGCTGCAGAAAATCCTCTCGCGGTCTTCAATATACAACCGATTGTATTATAAAATCTTTATCAATGAGTGAAATACCTGTGCCATAATTTGCACATACCACGCCGTCCTTGCAAATCCGGAATTGGGAGAATCAAAGTTGGTGGAGACCAACAGTTGGACAGAAAAAGTCAGCTCGTGCAACTAGCAAAACATTATTAATGTGTAGACCTGAGTGATTCTCAGACATCAATTTTATCATCTATTTCGTTTTTGTAAAATGGAAATGATTACTACGGAAACATCTTTTGAAGTCTCAAACTTTTGCCTCTCATCCAGCCATCACCAATGAACTAAAACACACCGTAATTGCCATCAACCCAGGAAAACAAACCCAAACACCAACACATAAACCTCATAGCTCTCTTGATAATCTCTGCAGTGCAACCTCAATCCACTTCCTCAGCCATACATCTGTAGTCGAAGAGTACACACACCTCGATTCGCTATACACAACAACACACCGTCTAAATTCCAAAGCACTTCAAGTCAGCAGTAGTAACCGACTTGCGATGCGGAACTCAGACGGCGTAGTATAGAAAGGCTAAATCTGTCGGGTTTTGATTGTTGTTTTAGAGATACTCAGGATCTTACTATCTTAATCTAAATATACTTAATACAGTAATGCGATCACCGCTCGAGTCAGTGTATGAGAATGATGTCATCAAAGGAATAGTAACCTCAGAAATCCTCAATTATCGATCAAATTTCGTTGTGATAGCAAATCAATAGGTAGGTACTCATCATCGCTTGCTAGTAAAAACGAAACATTCAAATGGAAAGAAACAACCTTGGAAATTAATACTATTCCTTCTGATCTCGCTTTGTACAAACATGAGTGAGTATACTCAGTAACTATTTACACATCAACATATCATAAATCACTCAATTTTTTCATTCTCCCCAAGACCTAGACTCAAACCCCATTTTTCATTCCCGATCACACTCTCGAAACACTCTTCCCATTATATAATTGCAAAAGAACCACACAAGTAATTTGAATACATACTAGGTAAGTAAACGTATCTACAAGATTTCTTTCTTTCGATAACAAATCACATTATTCAATTCGTTCCGCTCACGTGATATCACATGAACATTCCTAAGTCGGAAGTTCCGACTCGGAACTGATGAGCGAAACTGGAATGTCCCCGTTGTAAATCCATATAAAACTATATACATTATTCGTGGTTGAAGTACTAGGCATGTATTACCAAATTCATCGCCATTAACTACCTACCTACCTACCTACCTACCTACCTACCTAGTAATCCATCAAAATATTCGATTCTTACTGCCCTTTCCCAAACATAAAGCATCTATATTATCTCTCCCCTCTTCCATTTTATTCTCACAAAATATGTCTAGTAAAAATCTATCTAAAATGAATAAAAATCCCAAGAACACATATACATACATACACATCACATCACATCACATCATATCAGAAAAACATTTACAATACCTAACCTAACCTTAGTATTTCCCCCTAGCGCGGGGTACTCCTTCCTCCCCACAAAGCCACGCACCTAATCCATCCCACCTAATATCCATCCCACCACCCCTCCACCCCTCGATCCCTCCCACAAAAAAACCCAAAAATGAAGCTAAGTGCGGGGTAGCTAGCTCCAGCTCCAGCTCTAATCTACCCTACAGAAAAGATGTGTAGAGTAGGTAGGTTTATTCGTATTAAGTGTAGTGCGTATTCTCTTGAAAGCTATGTACGGTTCAGTTGAGTATATCAACCAAAATGATTACCTAATACGCCTAATGCGTTTAGCCTACTTTCTCCTACCCACCGGAGCCACTCATTGATATCGTATGGATATGGATATGGATGTCGTATGGATATCGTGTGGATATGGATAATGGTGGGGTCGAAGCAATGATATGATATAATATGATATAATATGATATGATATGATATGATATAATGGTGTGTTGATAATACTCCGTAGATGAGAGGTGGGGTTTAGAAAAACAAAAACAAAAACAAAATAAAATAAAATATATGGATGGTGATTAAGAAATACTAAAGAAATACTGGTGGGTGAATGAACCCCACACCACCCACGTCCCGGACCACTTCTGTTCTCTCCACAAATAATGGAAGAGGTGAAATGTTGTGGGACACAGGGGTCAAGACTCGGGTGGTGCGGGAGAGGGCGGGTGGATAGTTGGTCGGTGATTTGAGGAGATGTGTGTATTTGCTCATGGATTGATGGATGGATTTATGTATGTATGTATGTGTGTTATGCATCGGATGGAGGAGATGCATGCATGGAATGTGTATATTTGGTAGATTAGTAGGTATTTTGTTCATATTAACCTGCCTACTTAATATACATAGCTATACTATACCCGAGCATTTACACTCGCGACTAATTTTATATAATTACACTTAAACCATGCTATCATTCCTTCATAATCCTACAATTCCCTGTCCTACAAGTTCCTAAATTATCTCCTAACTGTGCCATTCATCGCGGAATCAATACCATCCACACCATTAAACAAACCCAAACTGGCTTGCCAAAGTTTGTTCTCGTTCAATAACCACACTTGCATTTTATCTCCCTCATTTCCGAGGATAAAGTTCGCGGAACCACCAGCTACTGCAATTTTGCCGAGCAAAACACCGCCCTCGTTCCAGACATTGACTCCATCTCCACATCCTGCATATACATTTCCTGCCTCATCAGTTTTAATTCCATCTGGAAGACCTGATTGTGGTACTGCGAAGATTCTCTTGTTGGCAAGAGCTGGTTCACCTCCTCGAATTATAACATCGTATGCGTAAATAGCTCTTGGGGCAGTAGGGGCAGTGGAATTGCCGGCTCCGTCGGTAATGTAAGCGGTTTTCTCATCAGGACTAAATGTGATACCATTTGGTTCTTGGATGCCATCCGCAACGACACGGATGTCATTTGTACCTGGCATGTAGCGGTAGACTTGAGGTGGAAGTAAGGGTTGAGGACGGATTCCTTGCCATGAACCGTATGATGGATCTGTGAACCATAGGGCTCCATCGCTTGTCACGTGGACATCATTGGGTGAGTTAAACTCAACGCCGTAGTAGTTGTTGATGAGGGTTGTGGCAGTATAGGGAGCTGTGGCATTCATGAAAACAAGACCACCGGGTGCGGTCATGGATCCTTGGTCGCAGATTACGAGACCATCGTTGTATTTTGCTCCTCCGTTTGCGAGGGTGAGGGTTCCTTCTGGTTCAATAATGGTAGCGGACCATGAATCACCGGATTTATCTAAACGAGTGATGGAAATGGCCTTGTTGTTAGTGGCAGCAGAACTGGTATTTGAGGCATATTGGTTACTCGTGACGAAAAGAGTTGATTCATCGAAAAAGATGGCGGCTTCATGGAATTGAGGGAAAGAAGAATTTAGGATATTGCTAATAGCTGGCGCGTCTCCAAGAATTGAAGTGAAAGATTCATTGTAGACTTGAAATGGTGAGGTATTGCTAACATTGTACAAGTCCAATGTGGTGATTGTGTCGGCGTTGTATGTCTAAGGGTTCATTAGTTTGTGGTCATAGCTGTTACCATCACTCTGTACTTACATATATAGTTTCTTGAGCCAAGGCACCAGTGGCAATGGCCAAAGTTGGGAGAATATCTCGAGAATACATCATTTGTTTGATTATAGGTTCTAAAAGAATGAACAAAGATAGATCAAGCCAAGTAAAACAGTCAACGAAAGAACATAGCTAAATACTTATACTGAAGAAATATGGGTATGGATCGTCGAATATGCCGTCCTGGTGGATCTATCTATCAATATCACTTGGCATATAGGCACAGTCATCGACAGTGGCATGTCATTTGTAATTTGTCCGAAGTCTTGAAGCATTTGCCAATGCTCATTGTAATTTGGGTCAACGCCGTGAAACGTAAGTGCCAAGAATGTGAAAATTGACGGTGAAAAGGGTTCGTGAACATTGTTGAATTTGGTGCTTCCAGAAGGCATGAAAGGCCCTATTTTGTTTCTTTTGTTCGTGTGAAACATGCTAGAAATTCTTTTGGGGAGTGCCAAGGTTGAAATCTTCATTCATCAGATCTTTTACCTCGTCGTCGACCAAATTTCTGGAACCTCGAGGGACTTTAAGATTTCTTGGCATCATCCCATGGCTCATTTCAGAGCCAATGCGATTATGTGCATTGTGCTCTGATAAAAGTCTTTACCGATGTATGGCCGTATTTTCAAACCTTAAAATTCCTGCCCGTCTGAAGGAAAGCCACAAATGTTAAAATGGCATTATAAATACCTCTCGGGAGGAGATACGCATCATAGTTCGAGTGGAAATCATCGACTCGATTACTGATCTTGCAGTATCTGCAGTATCTCCTTATCGCCAATGCCCTAAGGTGGAATGAGCTGCATTGAATTGTATCAAGTTGGGCTGGGCTCGATTATATAGAACTACCTACTAGGCAGGTGTACCTAGTAGATATTGGATCGGATCGTATCGTACTATTGAAGTCTGTGAGCACGTGTTTTGGATGTAAGCAATTTAATTGGTCGTTCCAAATCCGATAAGTTCTACCGAAAAGAGCCCAATAGAATGGTATGATGAGTGTTTATGACTGTTTTTGACGGTTTTCCAAGTATCTTGGAACTGCGCTTGCCGCGATTAAAGAATACGGAAGCCGAGATGTCCATTCCTTCAAAGCGTAAGTGTATCGGTATGTCCCGGTATATTCACAGTGTGTATGTATTTCCGTCATTATTACCGATTGTGGATAAATAAAATCTGGAAATATGGAAACATATATCAAATGATAAAACAGCTTTACTTTTTTATACACCAGTACTGAGGATTCACATGAGAAAAGTCTGTGCTGTGCTTGTTGTCCCCGCCAGATTATCATTGAATCCCAATTGATCAGAGTACCATCGTAAAAAAACCACAAAAAAATACCTGTTGCCCAAAATGGATTAGTCTCTTATCTACCCCGCTAAGGTTAACCGTTCTTTCCAAATGTACCGATTAACCTTCAACCCTCACCTACCTACTACTGTCAACAAGATACATATCAAACTACACAGCAACGTAGCTTTACCTTGATAGACAATTACTCATCTGTCATATATCCCTTGTCTTGAGTTCTCCTGTCTGACTGGTATTACTTTCATCTGGTATTCACGATCTTTTCCTGGGTTCATTCCAATATTACACAGTCATCGATTATCTACTCCATCTCACCCTCGATTGAATCATGAATTCGAGACAGCATAGTACTACCACTAGTAGGGCCAACCGAGTCCAGAAGCAGCCACGCATCTACACTTGCTCGGTATGTCAGAGAGTGTTTAAGAGAAGTGAGCATTGTTCAAGGCATGAACGTGGTCGTGAGTACAATCGATCGTGCGAGTCATGCAAGTTCCTTTGTTGATACGAGTTCAACCTCTAGATACCCAGGAGAAACCATTCCCTTGCAAACTATGCGGTCGTAGATACGCGCGAAAGTATGTTGGATATTGCGCGACTTTGATGTTCGTTGTAGAAGATCGATCACATTGACTAATTTCTTATCTAGGGATGTCGTCATACGACATGAAAAGTCTTTCCACCGTGTCGAAAATCCACGACGTCAACAACCTCCTCCCCCTTTACAACCGTCATCTCCAGATTTAGATGCTGAGTCTGAACCGTTCGCAGATTCGATGGTTTCTAATGCGCAACATTATACTACTGATCCTCGGCTCCCCCAGATGCCAGTAAAACTCGAACATCAAGAATCACCAGAGATGCAATCTACATTAGATCCTCTACTACGAGAACATGATGCACAATTGGCTGGTCATTCCAGTTCATCTGGTCCTCAAATGAATGGTCATGGTGGGCCAAGTCATGGATTTCAACAATATCAGAATGGTTTCATAGATCCAGCCTTGGATATTTCTGATCTCTTTGGACCATCGCCTAATCTAGTAGCCCGAACCTGACAATCACAGTATTATTCGCAACAAATGCAATAAATTTCACGGCTTCTTAAAAGGTTATATGCAGCACAACGATATTACGATAAATGCAATTCAGGGGAATGGGATATCACGATTCGGTGTTGTGGGGATATATACAAATGGCAAGGCTTGAGATATTTTTATTAATAATCTCTCGTGTGCATTTGCATGGAAATGCTGTCAACTTTGAGATGTTTACTACACTGGCATAGAGGTTTTGCTTGGAGATGTGTTTTTCCATCTCATCTTTTCTTTTGGGAAACCTGCATACACAGCTTTCAGACAAGCAAGTCAACGGTGAATTGCACTGGAAGGGGATTTTGGTACTTGATTTCTTTGAGAAGATACCATATTTGTGCACCTCGAGGGCGTATCACTTATTTCTAAGCGATTAGCTCAATACAGAAGTTTCGAGATTTAATGAATGCAATCCACAATGTGCTTGTGAAGCCGTTTATTTCTTTGTTTCAATAAACAACAACAGGTCGGTAAATGATTTCTTTGTTCTATTCGTCGAAATTGTCGAAGCATCACCTCGCTTCCATGCTGTTGTTCAAGTGTTTCAAATTAGAATTCGTTCGATACCCGCCTGAAATCGAGACTTTTTAAAGCGGTTCGTGTATTTGAGTACCATTATCAAGAATAAGTCGAGTTCAAGTTCAGAACAATGTCTTTGAAACGTGTCAAGTGTCGAGTGCAATGGATACAATATCCAGTTAAATTAAATCAAGTACCAACACTACAACCACAGAGATTACAGCTATCAACTCTATTTTCTTGACACCCCACTTCACATTATCCAAGATGCCACCACAATTAACCAGAGTCAATGTAAATTCTCTCCGAGCAGACCAATGCACCTGTGCGATCTGTCAAGACAATCTCGGTGGTGGAGAGAACGGAGAACCTGTTAAAACTGCGTGTAATCACGTTTTTGATCGAGAATGTGTTCAACGTTGGCTTGACGCTGACCACACTACCTGTCCCATTTGTCGCGAGGAAATTCGTAACATCACCGGTGGCGTAAGAGACGCCGCAAGAGATCGGATTAGACAGATCAATAACGCTGCTAGACGCGTTAGAGATAGAGCTGTTGAGGAAAGAGAAGATATGATGCAAGCTCAGGCGGATTACGGAGGTGGTGATGAAGATGATCATCTTGAGGGAAATGTTGGAGAGGAGCTTGAACCCATGCCCCTTGACGTGCCGGGAAATTTCAGTACTCCTGCGCCTCCCCGTTATCGTTCTTCGATCGGGAGATCGGTGTCGAGAAGCCAGTCTTCTCCCCCAAGAAGATTCCCCTCACCACTTCCCCATAGATATCCTTCTCCTCCAAGAAATCTTCTCCACTCAACTCCTCCCCGAGTTTTCAGTTCCTCGTCAAGCACCTCTGCAGCAATGCAACACGCCGAAGCAACTTACATCAACGCCCTCTCCACCCTCCGATCCCTCGACACCAGAATAATTAACCAAGCGCATCTCTCCTACGAAGCCAACGTCGTCAAACACGACGCAGAACGCAACGTCCAACTCGCCTTTCAGGAACTCCAACGCGCAGTCCGATCGAACGATCAGGAATCAATCGATCTTGCGCTTGCGATGCAGGAAAGCGTTACGATTCTCTTGGACGATGCGCATAATGCGATGGCGCAGTATAGTGCGCCGTTGAGAGAATGGATGGAGGAGAGACCGAGGGCGAGTGAGAGGTTGGATCGCGCGAGATTGGCGTTTGCGAGAGAGAGGGAGGGGCTTATGAGAGGGGTTGGGAGTGCGAGGGGGGGGAGGGAAGAGAGAGGGAGAATGCGGGGTTTTGAGATTGATGGGGATGAGGAGGCTTGGGAGACTTATAATCCGAGGGATTTTGAGTGAGTGGATGGGTAGGTAGGTAGGTAGGTAGGTAGTAGGTAAGTGTGGCGATGACTTGATGAGGAACAGGTGGGTTAGAATATCTGAATTCTGCATTTAGTTTTTGTTTCTTCTTTGTCTGCTTGCTTGCTTTCTTTCCTTTGATTTTCTTGATACTTTTCTAGCTCACATTCTACCTGAATGAGAATTTAGTTTTTGATCAGTTGGTAAGTATACCATATCGATGAACTTTCGCCCCCTTCCCCATTTGTTTTTAATAAGATATATGATTAACTTATTAAATTATGATCACGATTGATCACTAGTGAAATGAATACAATACCATGCAATGTGATGTGATGTGATCTGATATGATATGATGTGATATACTACAACCCTCCAGTCCCTCTAAAATGTCTCGACTGAACATGACATGTGTGCGTATGAATTCATCAAACAGGAGCCTAATTACTGTAAAAAGGGTCAAATATCTTAACCCCCCCCGACCCGATCCTTCCTTGTGTATCACTACCTAGGTATAGATAAATGATACATTCATAATAATCTTCCATATATTACCGAGGCCGAGTGTTGGTATCAACTTGGTTGATAAGTGTAAGTACTTTAGTCTATTATGGTTGTATTCGTTCTTGATCATTATTATCTATAGGAAGCTAGTATTTAATATAGTAGAAGTGCTAGCGCTAGTGTATACGCTAGTGCAATACAGTGCCCTCTTTTGATCACATGATCGATATCCCGACACCGAGGTATACTGATACAAGCGAATACATAGCTAAAGAGGTAAGGAGTCACATATGATACATACGATATGAGAGATATATCGAAACGGATAGTTACTCGCTCCGCTGACTCCTGAGTGGTAGGAAGGATATCGGAGGTAGAAGTTCTACGGGTTGTGAGGAGCGGGAAGTGTGGTGCTTGGGGTAATGGATAGATGGGGATGGATAGACGGAGAGAGTATGAGTTTGGAAATTAAGGATTCTTGAGTTTTGGGATTTGGATTTTGAGATCTGAGATAACCATTGAGCTTGACTGTTTCCTCTTTCTCGATTCATCATTGTCTGATGTCTAGATTGGGGATTTGGGAGATGTTTGAGGGATTGATTACATATATGCAATGCAATAAATGTTTTGCTTTTGTTCAGATCTCGAAGTTATCCTAAATATTTATCGCATCTTGATACATTTCTATTGCCTTTCCTTATTTTTTAATAGGACGGCTAGACTAGTAAGAGTTTGTTTGCTGTTGTTGTATGATTGAACAGATATCTTTGGTGAATGTGTGAGGGTTTGTATTTGAGGTGTTGGACTAACTATAATCTCAACGTAAGAACTTCAGGTGGTTAGCAGAATTTCTTGAAAGCTTGTAAGTCATGATATGATGACTATACATTTAGGAAAGATTATTCTAAGGCTTTTACGTGATTTAAATTGATTTTCATAGACTATCCCGTTAGATCAAATATTTTTATCTAGGTACTCGCGTGTTCATTTGTTGAAGAAGTTTTTGTGTATGTAATAATCACATTACCACAGGTTTAAAATGTTAAATTTTGTGTGGTTATACGGGTTGGTCGTTGATTTTCTCATCATCTACTTGTCTTTTTAGCAGGGATGATGGATTAGGATCAAGGATATATCTTTTATAAAAGGGTTTGAGCATGTTGAAAGTCGAATCATTAGAAATATACATGGATTCAACATGATAACATAACGAAACACTATATTACAATAGGCGGATTTTACTCGATACTTTTAGCAATGTAGATGGCATTAATAGTTGTACCTCGACTTCCATTCCGTACCTAAGTAAAGGAGAAAATTTCCACAAGCGAGACGTCGAGCTGGAAATTTATAAGGCTCCTCGTATAAGATTTGAGGCTGACTGGTAGATTTAAAGTTGGTTAGGAGCAGGATTAGACTATTAGTTATCTTTTCTTTTGAGAAATAAATACCTTGAGTGGTGTAGAAGGAATGTTGTAATCAGCATTTCCCATACTTCAATAACGCCTCAAAATATCCATACATGAGCTTCATCTCAAGTGAGTGTTAAAGACATAATTTAATTGCCCAATCATTCCATTCATCTTGTATCTGACGCATGAAGTGACAAGTAATACACATACTAGAGAAAGATAGCGCATGCCTTCATATAGTACACCGGAATAAACGAAAGTTGACAGAAATCCTGAAATATCATATACAGATACATAGACAATTCAAAGTACACACTAATCAAGTGAATGAATGAGTGAGTTCACTGTCGGTAATGGCTCTAAGCCATCTGTTCGATGTAGTGGTACGCTCGATTATTAGGTTTCTATTGCTTTAAAATACTGTTAAAGTACCTGTTAGACTCCGCATCTCACCACAGATTTATAAGGATAATTTCACTTCGAAATTGATATTGTCTTGTTGGTCGTCGAATCTTTTCATCTTCGTTAGTTGACGAATTCGTAATTTCTAGTCCAATCCTCAATGTTATTATACTCGATAGCACTCCTTTTCAAGTACAACCTTCACTTTGGTTCAATCTGTTTCAATCTTGGCTCTATAAATAAATCACAGTTTACAGGATGCATCATGTACAGGTTTTGAATCATTACATGCTAATAGAGATTAATATTGCGGCTAGCGAAGCTGTTCTATGGCGAGATGCAATATTGAAACACCTACCTTATGAGCCAACGTACAGGTACCGTTAAATATCATTAGGTTCAATGGGTGAAAGCAGAATCACTTGATTTCATGATAAATATATGATAAACACATATCGGCAACTACTTTCTAAAAAAATTCAAACAAGGTCACTGTTGAAGCAACCGCTCAACAGAAGAGCACAGCAGAAGAAGAGAAATTTATTGTGCTCTACGGAGGACCTCGTATAGACAGCCTAACTGTGCATCGTATCTCATCCACATGCTCCCGTGTTCATTTCTTCTCTGCCTCTGCCATAGCGAGATCCTGATCAGCATAGATCTTCTGGACTGTAGGCCTCGTCTTCATCCTCTCCAGCCATGCCTCCACATGTGGGCAATCTTTATAGATATCTTCACCACCATATCGAGGTGCCCATCTTTGCCATGCTATGAAACAGAGATCGGCGTATGTGCATTTATCGCCGACCAACCAGTCTCGAGTCTTCAACACGGATTCAAGAACTCCAGTGACTCTACGGATCTCTTTCGCGTATCGATCAATGGCACTCTGGATGCTTTCGGGGTGGATATTGGTGAAATAAGAAGCCTGACCATAGTATGGCCCTTGACCAGAAGCTTGGAAGTGCAGCCACTGCTTAGCGAGATATTTTTCGGGGAAGGTGTTATGACTCAACCGGTGCTCGACATCATATTTTTCAATCAAGTACTCGATGATAGCACCGGATTCCCAGAGTGTAATGTCGGTGTTAGGATCTTCGATAGATGGCAAACGTCCGTTTGGGTTGATTTGAGTATATGGCTCCTTCTTGACTTCGGAGAAATCCACAAACTTTGTTGTGTAAGGGATGTTCAGCTCCTCGAGGATGAGGGCCACCTTCCACGGGTTAGGACCGAAAGGATGAGAATAAAGTGTGATTGGAAGCATTTTGAATGACGTCAACCAAAAAGATGGTAAATTTAAAGTTTCAATAGCGATTGGATTATTCGATGAGAGGATTGGTTTGAGGGTAGGGTACTTACGAGACTGTTCAAGGCAAGAGGCCATATATAATAGAATCTTTATTATTCTAGATCGTAGAGATTGGTAATTCGGTCTATCGGATGCGAAACTGTCGATCTCGAAGCAATCTGATCTTAGTAATATTCGAAACCATATTAAACAAAACATAGAGACAGAAGCTTACCGCAATGTCAAGATCAATTGCTGATGAAAATAAGGCGGTTCTCGGAAGCACCTTTGCCGAGAAGCTCCGCGGAAGGCAAGGCGAGCCGAAAATACGGAGCCGTGCGCCAGAAAATTACACTTTCCCGGCGGAAGCTACTAATGACTTTCTTATTCGTTGGGAGAACAACTCTGCATAATCTCTGCAGAATATACGACAGCTGTCAGAAAAATTTAGGCCGGCATACTTCGTGTCTGATAAAGCCGCGCGGGAGCAAAGAGTTGCCTTGACATTTCTGCACAAGGCTAATAAGCCAGCTCTCGCCACCAATTTTCAATTTATTAGACTTCTACCAACAAGGCACCCCCATGACTCAAGTGACTCTCATCATCGCTGACCCCCTGGATATTACGCAACTGTCGTTGAAATATCGTACGGTCCGTGGCCTCATGTCTACCTCCTCACAACTGTAAAAAATCTAATTACAAATCCAACCTCTAAGATCGATTGATGGTCTTAATATTCCAAAATAAAATTTATAATCAATATTGATTATTTATAGAAACCTAGTTGGCTGATTTCAGTCGTCTGACTTCAGTATCACTCTTACCAGATTTAAATTCCTACTACATTGAATATTGATATCCATTCCTATCATAAGACTCTGAGAGTTATCTCATTCGATTCCGTCGACCTTCAAGACCCTTCCCTCACCTATGATGGCGTCTGAATCTCAGCAAGGAGGAGCGATCCCTTCAACCACTGAATACTACAACCTCGGATCATTCAAGCTGGACATCAGTACCAAGAGCAAAGATGCGCAAGTGTGGTTCAACCGTGGCTTAACATGGGCCTATGCATTCAACCATGAAGAATCGGCCATTTGCTTCGAACAGGCTATAGCACACGACCATTCTTGTGCAATGGCTTACTGGGGGTTAGCATATGCCCTGGGCCCAAACTACAACAAACCCTGGGAGACATTTGATGAGAGTGATCTCAAAACAACGGTGCAGCGGACTTATAAAGCCTCTAGAGATGCAAAAGCAAATGCCGCCAGTGCGACGACTCTCGAACAGGCACTCATCGATGCAATCCAATTTCGCTTTCCGTGCGACTACCCAATTAAGGATTTCTCTGCCCAAAATCGAGCCTATGCCGACGCTATGGAATCAGTCTATGAACAGCATCCGGATAGTCTTGACGTAGCCACTCTTTATGCTGACGCAATGATGAATCTGACCCCATGGCAACTATGGGATCTTCACACTGGAAATCCAAGCCCGGGCGCTCGCACCTTGAAGATTAAGAGTGTTCTCGAGCGTGCTTTGGACCAGGATGGAGCAAATCGACACCCAGGTCTGTTGCATTTGTACATCCACTGCATTGAGATGTCTCCGAACCCAGAACTTGGATTGAATGCCGCAGATCATTTACGCGACCTGATACCAGATGCTGGCCACGTCCCTCACATGCCTTCGCACCTAGATATCCTCATCGGTGATTACCGGCGCGCAATTGCCTCCAACTATACCGCAACAATTGCCGATGAAAAGTTTCTAAGCCGATCTGGTCCGAATAATTTCTATACCATGTACCGACTTCACGATTACCACTCCTTGATTTACGCGGCAATGTTTGCGGGCAAGCCTAAGATCGCGCTTGAAACTGTAGCGAAAATGGAAGCATCTTGTCCCGAGGCTTTGCTGCGTGTCCAGTCACCTCCTATGGCGGATTGGCTTGAGACTTATATGTCGATCCGTGTTCATATCTTGGTTCGCTTTGGAATGTGGCAAGATATTATTCAGATGGAGTTACCTACTGATCGTCAGTTGTACTGTGTCACTACAGCTATGATTCATTACGCAAAGGGCGTGGCATACGCCGCAACTTCCAACGTGCAGGAGGCGGAGAAAGAGCGGAGTCTATTCATATCTGCTGTGGAGCAAGTTCCAGCCACCCGTTCGTCTTATCCTAACAAATGTGCTGATATCTTGGCTGTGGGTGCTGCTATGCTGGATGGAGAAATTCAATACCGCCGCGGGAGCTATGAGGAAGCATTTGCAAGTCTTCGCAAGTCCATCGAACTCAGTGACGGACTTACCTACAGTGAGCCATGGGGTTGGATGCAGCCACCGCGCCATGCCTACGCTGCGCTAATGCTGGAGCAAGGACATGTCGAAGAAGCCGCAAAAGTGTATAGCGCGGACCTTGGACTTGACGGGATACTGCCTCGTGCTCATCAACATCCAAACAATGTCTGGGCTCTCCAGGGCTATCACGAGTGTTTGACACGCCTTGGCCGTAAGACAGAGGCGCGCCTCATTGAGCCACAGTTAAAAATAGCCCTTGCGGTTGCAGATGTTCCTGTCAAGTCATCCTGCTTTTGCAGACTTGATACGTCTTGTTCGCCTGTTATAGCTTAGGGTGTATGAGCAGAAACCGTAGCTGCCACTGAAATGACTCTTCAATCTGAAAGGTTCTAGACATGGTTCGCATTGATGGCTGGCAAAAGAACCTCATCATTTTGTTTCCGACTTAAAAGCGAGGCAGCACATATAAATCCAAAACAGGCTGTGATAGACACTAAAAAGGAGGTGACAAAAGCAGTGACCCTATTCTTTTTCAGTTTTGTAAGTGGAAAACATTTAGAATAGAACACTGTAAAAGCAGAAGGTGAATAGCGTTCTCTGGTCTATTCTGGAAGTGTCTTCTCTATGGATAGCAGCTTATATATATCAAAAACTTTCCCGCCGAGCTTCACAATATGGCTAAAATCTGTTCTGAATTTTGGGCATGCCACTAGTAAAAGACTTTAAATCGTGCTTAATGGTAGGTTTCTGTAATGAGATTGTCGTGAACGGTAGTCAATTATACTACCTAGAATCTAGAACTAAGGAGAGAAGAGAGGAAAGAGGAGAAGAAAGAACACGGTCCTTGCGTACAGATACCCACCTACCCACTAGCACTCCTAGGCTAGAACATGACACCTGCCACAGGAATACAGAAAAGAAGCGTCATGTGACAGAAGCAAGACAATGTCCTCTTTAATTAGACACCCGGATTGTGCTATGCCCTCCCTTAAAATGTTTTTAAAATCTCATACCTACTGTTCCTCTCACCTACCTACTTAGTGTAAGAACTTAGGTAGCTATACCCTTCATAAATGTGAGAATTTGTAAGACAACTCCTACACACATTTTCATTATACAATAAAGAATTTAAAATCCACAATTTTCGGAACACTGCTGAAGTGACGAAGTAGAAAAACAGGTACAGAGGTTGATGGGATAAGTCGTGTAAGCCCCATTTTTGATAAAAGTTGCTGTTTTACGAAATTCCAATGCTGCTTTTACTAATTTTACTAGATATTCAGTCATTCCCCTTAGATTTCGAATTTCAACTCTTATAATTTTGAAGCTTTTGAAGCTTTTGAAGCTTTTAAAGTTGTCAATAGATTTTAAATAGAGATATAATAGCATTTCTAAAAAGAAAAGTATGAATTTTGATAAATTTGAGTGATTTGCAAGGGTTAGAATAAATTTACAGTACTTTCGCCATCTGGAGTTCACCATATAAATTTTCAATCAGCGTGATGATATGATTGGTCCAAACGATAAAAATGGGGAAAAGCTCGGTCGCTTTTTGGTGTGTTTTACAATACTTACGCTGTCAACCTCCGTAGAAGTGATCGGGATCGAAGGAATCATACTTGTAGGCGTGGAAGGGGTCTCGAGGGGGTGTGGATTTATGATCCAAACTTCTTGCACCCCACTGTAACTAGCACCCTTTAAGCTTAGAGCCGAACGGAAATAAAAGGTGTCCGGGAGATGGGAATTTACGTCGCATTTGTGGAAACTTACATTAGCATTTGTCTTGAAATAGACTGACAGATATATTATTTCGTTTTCTCGTCAAACAAAACATCATGCTTGCAGCACGAAGTAGCACTGGTTGCTGGACGTGTCGGCTCCGAAAGAAAAAATGTCAGGAAGAACGACCCACGTGTTCCACGTGTGATTCACTTCGCATCAGTTGCCATGGCTATAGTGAGAAACCCACTTGGATGGATGGAGGATCGTCAGAGAAGGCAGAATCGGAGCGAATCAAAAGAGACATAAAAGAGAACAAGAAACGGAAAAGAGAGATAGCCAGTCTCACTGTGGCAAAGAGTGGCCCAGCATCTACACCCATTACCGACAACTCGATGACAGATACAGAGTCCAGCGATGCACCCCAGAGGCCATTGTGCGTGGGCTGCTCACTGAGCCTCATGATTAACGAGTATCATGGACGCGAGGCGAGCCTCTTGATGCATTATTTAGATATTGTCTTTCCTGTTCAATTCAGATTCTATAGGCCTTTGGCCTCAGAAGGTGGCCGTGGCTGGCTTCTGAGTATCTTATTACATACGAAGCCACTGTATCATGCGACGCTGAGTTTAAGCGCATGTCATCACAGCGCTATGTACTCAGGCAGTGGGTCTAAAACTAGTGATAACATACTTGAAGACCTGCAAAGGCACCATTGTCTGGCGCTGGTTGGTCTCAGGCAACATATTGATCGGCTTAGTTTGGAAATTGGTTTGGGCAGGACAAAGACAAAAGTCGAAATACTTGCTTGTATGATCTGTTTGATTTCATTCGAGGTGAGCCTTATAATCTAAGGAATTGAAAACCTGCTAAATTGTGCATGGTAGGTTTTGAAAGGAGATAGTAATGACTGGCAGACCCATTTGCAGGCTGCGAGAACTATTTTCATGGGTCTCAAGGACAATTTTCTTCCGCCATTGAATAACTTAAATGCAGTGCAGGAGATAGGAGACTCCCCAAACCCCGATTCCGACGCTCTTTCTTTGGACGAAGAATTGGCCCTCGAGTTCTTTTCTACGGCCCTGATCTGGTTTGATGGTTTATCTTCCGTAACTATAGGTGCAAATTCAAAGTATTCCGATGTCTACCCTTCTATTCTGCGCATTGATAATGGCACAATCCAACTTTGTAAGTTGATGGGAGGTCAGAATTGGGTTATGATTGCTATTATGGACATTGCGCTCTTGGCCGAGTGGAAAATTATGCGAGAGGGTTTGGGCGATTTAAGCCAATCTCAGCTGGCTAGGCGTGCAGCCTGTATCGAAGATCAAATTGAACATGGTATACAAGAGAACAGAGCCCGTCAAATTGGCGAAAATTCTGATCCGTGTGGCATTCGAGCTCAAGAAAGCCAACATGTCACTCATATATTCGCATGTGCTGCAAAGGTCTATTTGTATGTCACTCCGTCCTGGTGCATACCCTAGGATTCCAGAGATCAGAGACAGCGTGTCAGCAGCCCTGAAAGCCTTTCGAGATCTTCCCGATGGTCGATGGATACGCCACCTTGTATGGCCTTTCTGCGTTGTTAGCTGTATGGCAGACGAAGAGCTTGAAGACGAATTTCGACAGATGGCGGCCCTGGCAAATAAAGATCGAGACGTTTTCTGCAACTTTCAGAATACATCCTCGATCATGGAAGAGTGTTGGAGACTTCGCAAATGTCAGCCTAGCAGTCCTTGCAGCTGGGCAACAGCCATGTCCAGTCTAGGGGTCAAGACTCTCCTTGTCTGATTGATACTCTTATCAGTTAAATCTTTACTATAGCTCTAGCGAGAAGTGTGGTCTCGGGTCTCTTGGGTGAGATTCTACATACGATCGGTCATACCTCAAACGCGCGCTATACTTGCCTTCACATTTATTCTTACGGTCGCCAAAGTTTTAGACTCAGAGCTTGCCAATATTTCGAGACGAAATGAGCAGCCGGTGGAATTCTTGAGGGACTGGAAGCATATATGTTCATGTAAAAGCGCAAATTCTCGTGTCAGATGTTATACTTGGTGAGACTTGTGTTACAACGAGAAACATATCTTGCATCACATGATCTTACTCTGCAATCATTATATGATGGGCAGCCAGGATAAGCAGGCTATCCAAGTTATCTAAGGAACATCTTCACAGATATCAATACACATCACTAAAGTGGAGTGTAATTCAAATACGAAAAATACTGGTCATGACACTGGTAGAGCTCCGTACTCAAGATCAATCATTTGGTACAACATACTAGTAGTTACAAATTGAAAACATTCATTGTTGTTACCAAGCTCCTGCTTGACGCTCAAGTATGAATCACATTGAGAACGAGAACTTCCACGTTATTGGTGAAGGATACCATAATGGATTTGAAAATTTTCAAAACTTTACCCATACTAAAATATTCGTCTTAGACAAAACTGAAAATCTACTCGATAGTGACACAGACTTTACCAACATGCTTCTGCTCCTTCATATATGTGTACGCTCTAGGATATGTTAGCACTGACTACTAGCAATATAAGGAAGGCCTTCCAATCATACTCTTTGAGATCCTCCAACTTGAATAAGCGACGATCAATGACCGGTTTGAGGTTGGTGGCGTCAATGGCAGCATTCTTTAAATGATTAGCACAGGATACAGAACCGCATAGAATAGAGACCAATGGAGAAAAATGAACTAACCATCTCTTCGAACATTGCTCTGCTTCCGACGAACAATCCTCGAACGGTGAAGACCTTGCTAACAGTTTCAAGGAAGCTCGGCTCCTTCTCGTCAGTCTTGGACAACCAGCCAATAACACTGATAACGCCGTCAATCCTGATCGATTTGATAGATTGCGTCATGGTTCCACCTCCACCAATTTCGATAACATGATCGACACCCTCCCTTGAACCTGTCAATTTCTTGGCTTCCTCTCCCCAGTTTGTAACCTCTCTATAATTTATCACATGATCCGCGCCCAAATCCTTCAGCTGTTGGACTTTTGCAGGAGACGAAGTTGTAGCAATGACCGTAGCACCAGCAGCCTTCGCGAATTGAATGGCAAATAGCGACACTCCGCCCGTGCCTTGTGTTAAGACAAACTCTCCTGGTCTGACTGGTTTGAGGCCGTATAGAGCGTTCCATGCTGTTACTCCAGCGCCCGTCAAAGTGGAAGCCTGCTGATAATCCAGTGATTTGGGCATCAGCACAAGACCCTCTTCGTTGAAAGTTCCATATTGACGAAGAACACCATCGAGGTCCCCGCCGAGTGCAGTACTTATGGTCTTCGAGGTAAGTGAGCCATAAGTATGTTTCTGGTTGAATAGAGTCACGACCTTCGAGCCCTTCTGGAACCGTGTCACTCTTGCACCAACTGCCACTACTTCTCCTGCACCGTCTGATCCTGGTACGACGCCTTTTTTAAACCCGAATGGGAACGTTCCCTAGTCTGTGTTAGCATCCTCCCATCAAAAGAATGATTGTGAGCGGACATGAGGTATTGAGACATCTCTGTAGTTCAAAGAAGCGGCATGGAACTTGACGAGAACATCATTATCTGACAAATCTGGAATAGCCTCTTCTAGGTTGTAGTCTAGACTGTCAAATCCGTCTGTTCCTTGGACTCTCCAGACTTTCGTTGTAGTTGGTAGAACGGCAGCCATTGATTATATTGGGGAAGAATGAAAGAATGATGTAAGTATGTTCTAGGAAAGTATTAAGACTGTTCGATATGAAACCATCATTGAAGCAGGACATCCGCTCTTTATACCATACTAGGTCTTAACCTCTCAAGGTTGCGTTATGCGAGCATTAATCTTCCACCACTGACACTTACTAAAACCGCTTACATAATTCGCTTCAGATCGAATTCTTAGCTTCTCCCGCGCGGCTTCATGCCCCACATTGTGTCCAAGCATCGAAAAGCTTGAGGATTAAAATAACTCCTTAGGTCAAGCCTTTAACTATTGACTTTCGCTCTTCGAAAAAGTGGATTTGCGTAATATACGAGAAATCCTGTTCTTTTACCAATCATAACAGTCCAAAAATCCCTCAAGAAGGCTTACATAATTTACTGCAAAAGGAGTTCTTGGCCTGTTCCGCGCGGCTTTCTTCCCATCCCACCTTGAGTTCAGATCACTGCTGGCATCGAAAAGCTTAAACTTCAAGCTAATTCCTTGGCCCAAACGTCACCCCAAACTTTCCCTCTTGAAAAAGTTGGTGTAACCTTAGAAATACACGAAGACACGGTACCGTTTATTACAAAACAAGATAGTCTAAAAACCGGTCCATAATCAAGGTTCTACGCCAGAATGTCTGTCAAGCTAACAGTAAAAATCTCAAAGTTCAGGAAGGCGGTTTCTCTCGTCAGGTAGCTTTCATTTGGTATTGTATGTAGGGTTGGGCAATTATATAATCTGGAGGATGATTATATAATTCTATATTATCACGTTTTTTGAGCGATATGAAATATTATGCCAAGGTTATGCACGTGTTTTGATAGCTAATTAAACCCTTAGAATGAATGAAAGTGGGTCGAATTCGAAGGTATTTTCTGATGGGTGATTAACAAAGTTATTATGGGAAGGTATTTATTATATTTTTGATTAATAAGAGATTGAATCGTTTATTCAACCAATTAAATTCATTTATTCAAATCAAGCTTTTAAAATTACCTCTCGATTGAAATAATGAATAAATTAGTATTCATTTATATAAATTCACAAGTATTAAAAGTAGCGAAAAGGAGTGTTGATTATATATAAGAGATTTTAGATAATTTGGGAAAGGATTTGATATTGAATCTAGAAGATAATCTTGTTTTTAATAATGATATTGAGGTTGAATTAAATGAATTTGTTAATCTTTTTGAAGATATAAATTTCAATGCTTTGAAAAGGTTCCTTTTCTAGTATAATCCAATCAAATTCATTCTTTTTATTCGGAATATTTTCGAAATAACCCACTAAAAAAATCGATATATAATTGTCACGATAGAATTAGCCTATATAAACCCAATTAGCTTAATGCTCTTGGTGATATCACTTTTAGCGTGATAATAATTTACTTGACCAATATTACATATTATAATTTGTTGACGAATACGTTCAAATAATTTGATATATTTTTCCCAACCCTAATTGTATGGTATTTACCGAGCAGAACGACTCCACATATCCTCGTATATCAGCAGATCCTGGCCGGCAATACCCACCAGTGGGTACACGGACTCACGGGACAGCGTGACAGGAAAGCACAGTTTCATACTAAAACGAGTGATTTTAATAATTCAAATAAAATTCAATATACTATTGAATTCTTTCAAAATTGATATATATAGTTCTTCAAGTATTAAAGAATAATTCGTATAAAAATGATCGAGATAAAATGTGATTTGAGCTCAAAACACAAATAGTGCGCTTTCTCATCAAAACTTTTAATGAGGAATCATATATTCTTTTATAAAAAGATCAATGTTGATTTTTTCGATTCAATTTTAGATCAATATAGAATATTTATGCTTTAGATCTATATATTTGATTTTCAAATTAATTCATAGAAATTTTGAATTTTAATCGAATTATTAAAATCGCTATTTTTGGTGTGAAATTGTGCTTTCCCTCTTGAGTGTCCCGTGAGTCCGTGCACCCACTGGTGACCCTACGAGGGCGTGTTTTTGATGAGGGCCGGGGTCCGTGCACAAGTATTTTTCCTACTAAAATTCACCTACTTTAGAATTCAATATTAAATAGATTTAATAATATTATATATTTGAAACCTTGTGAATAAGTAGATTTTGATATAAAGTTTCATAATATGATTTTAAATTGTTTATAAAAATTAATCTAATTAAAACTTATAAGGAATTTTTAATACTTAGAATTGTTATAAAAAATAATGCTTATTTTAAGAATTGAAATTCTATATAAGATTTATCAATCAGTATCTTATCAAAATCAATGAAGTTAATATTAAAATAAATATTAATTAATTCTTTAAATATATTTCAAATTATAAAATTTTATAATAAATATTTGAATTAATTTCAATTTATAAAAATAAAGTATAAAGCATAGTTTTTGGTAAGGAAATTCGCTTAAATTTTATCCGGGCCCTCGTATATAAATTTAGGGATGTCCTTGCGTGGCTGGTGATCTCAAATGATCGTGCTAAAGTAGCTATTAGAAGGTTTGCTTTAATATCAACGTGTCGTGCATAGAGACGCAGATTGAGTATGTGGTGTCAAATACGAACGACGTATGGAATTAGGTACGTCATGATAATCATCCATACTTTCCACGAATCATACTATTCACTAGTAGGAAGAAGTGCCAGGCTTGTGCTCAGTGCCGTTGTTTGCCACTTAAAGGCGAGGTTTTAGTTCTAAACGGTCCCGAGGTCGTCTCCCATTGCCTCCCGCGTACCGAGGATTAAAGTTTGCTGCAACTTTTGCTACCAATGAGCCGCGCGGGTGTACTGCGCGGAGACTCTAATCATGATTCGGGCAGCAAGAACGATCCCTAGGAGTTTGCCTCCCTTCGATCTTCCGTGCGAAGTCAATGCATGTTTTGTTACTGTCTGACAAATCGGATCTAGATCGCAGTCACTAAAAGCATAAAACAGCAGCATTTCCTCGTTCTTTCACGATCAATCATCGACATATTGAACAGTAGTCAATTTCAGAAACAATCTTTTCTTGCTCACTTTATTTAAGTCTATAAATTCCTTATTATTAAACATGCCTAAAGGATCTTGTTTGTGCGGCGAAATTCAATATGAATTCACAGGTTCGTCTTTTCAGGCCATCATCTGCTTTTTCATTCGATGCACATCGATAACATCTTTTAGGCGAACCAAAGATGACTGCTCTCTGCCATTGTCATGCATGTCAAAAATGGTGCGGCGCTACCTCGTCCTCCAACGTGCTTTTATCTCGAACTCAGTTCAAGCTCTTGCAAGGAACGCCAAAGACATATGAGATTCCCGGAGATTCGGGAAAAATGAACAAGCGTTCCTTCTGCGGGACCTGCGGAACCAGTCTTTTTGGTGAACTCGAGCTCATGCCTGACTTTTTTGGTATTAAAGCTGGGTAGGTCACTTTGATATTCGAGAGTGTAATTCTAGAACTAACCCGTCTAATAGGAGCCTCGATGATGGCGCTGCTGATTATGGTAAAGTTGCGACTGAGTTCTATACGGATTACCGACTCAGTTTCTGTAAAGCTATTGAGGGCGCGAACCAGGAACCCAGGTTTGGAAATTAAGTAGACGGTATTATATTTTGGAAAGGATGAGAAAGATTCGTGGTTCAATCTTTAAGGTTACCATGTTCATGGAAGGTCTTTGTATGGGATTGTCGGCTGGTGCAAGTATTATGTAGATATCGAATAAAACTGACAGCAATTCTTCCGGCTTTGGCAGCCCCGTAAGATTAGACTCAAATTGTTTCCTTTACCAGCTCGCTGTATGTGTAAGGTGTACAGGATTGTATTTCTTCTTTCATCATTCCAAATATTCTATGTTTCGCGAAGGATTGTGGTACCTTGCCGTGATGAAATCTTGCAGAGCAAGTGTCAGATATGTACTCATAGTATGCGAGTCAAAGGAGATGTTCGGCCAATTCCATGTATCTGCTACCCATTTTATACACTAATTTTGCTATCTCTCTCGGCTCTGAGTAACATAATATCAAGATATTGTTAAGTGTTACCCGGGTTCGTAGCCAGCACCGCGTACATGTGAGAGATTCGTATTTGCTGGCTTTCCTCCCCCGCACCCATACGATGGCATTAATTATCTATTCATCCGTTGATCCAACCAAAGAATTTGCGCTACAAAAAAAAAAGAGAAAAACAAAGAGAAAGTGGTGTGCAGTTGTACATAGTATAGTGTGCATCGGTAGCTCTTAGAAGAGATCAGGGTCAATTCTTGCCGCGCCAGCCAAGCACCTCCTCAGAAACACCTGTCCCTTAGCGGGGACTTTTATTCGACGAAACGTAGCTACCATCAAACTTGACATAGCAAACTCCATGCCTACATCGAATCCTGAACGCTAGAGAACTGATCCGCGGGAGGTGGGGAAAGAAAAGAAGGGATATTGCTTGTCAGGAGTGCTTCTTGGCGAACATGGGCTAGGGCCTTCCGTCCCAACCTTTCTCTCATAATATTTAGCTTCCGCTTTGGGTTGTTTGAATAGCATGTCGTAAATGATTTTAAGTCGGCGGTGACTCGTACTCTTTTCTCCTTTCCAATCGTATAGTACACCCAGACGGCAGTACCACCACGCGCTTGGCATTCTGCTTGCAGTACAGATATTGAATCTACATCTTCATGATGCTTCACTCGCTTGTATGTAGGGGGCGTCATTGTAATGAATACTACAGTGATAAAACGGTAAAAAGTGAGTAGAAGTCTGGTATGCCAATGGTTATGGGAGTAGAATGAAGCTTTATTCTCAGGTTCGATTGTTTTTCCTGCAAGCCTTGTAAAATCTGTCGCGTCAAAAGTAATTCACTGTTGCTACCAAGCCTCCGAACCCTCCACGCGTTTTTACTCACTTTTGCATAAGACGCGACCTATTCCACAAAACATACTTGAATGCAGAGAGTGAAGATGTACTATCATCCTTTGCGCTATTAGAACTTGGGTGATATACTATGGTTCTCCCTCCCATCAGCTCTGAGGCATCGTTCCTATCAACCATCTTAAACATCCGAAGCATCTTCGAGAACCCAATGCTTTGCTCTGGTAATTGAGCTCCACGTCTCATTCAAATACAACAACATATCATAGCAGCTTTGTTGTGCTTTAGAAGCTCAAATTTCTGACAGAAGTAAGCATAACGAGCTCTATTCTTGACGGGCAGCTACAGATCACACTTACTGCTAGCCCCTAGACTATATTCGACGATATATGACGAACAGCTTCACATTCGACTTGTTCTCCTTTTGTTTGCTTCCAAACCTTGGTGAAAAACTATCTGGCTTTGAAATGAGCCGCGGTTGTGACTCTCTATTGTCCAAGGAACCTACGAGGATAGGCCCACAGTATACTCTTTCAATAGTAAGGTCCGCCGCATTTTCGAGAGAGCCGAACAAGAGCCGAATTCAGATATGCAACAAAACTTTTATTGCATGGAGTCCAGCCTAGAAAGCCGAACAAGAGCCGCCGCATTTTCGAGAGAGCCGAACAAGAGCCGGATGCAGATATGCAACAAAACTTTTGTTCCATGGAGTCCAGCCTATCACGACTATGCCATAAATCAGATATGAATTTCCGAAAACTTTCAATCTCAATGTCATTCAGACAATACAAAAAGCCTTAATTGAATTCTTTCAAAGCTCAAACATAGCTCTTGTAGAATCTGGCTGGCTAACTCTTTGATACCCTCACCTATGAATCGCATGCCCTATTTCATTGTCATCAAGGTTTCTTCTCCCTTTTCGAACATCAATAATACGTCTTTGCTCTTGCGTTCGGCCTCAACAAATGGATTTCTGTTCACTATACGTACGAATCACAATGATAACTGTTTTGGGCAGGAGAATTCTACCCTCTTCCCTCTCCGATCTCCTCATCATACCACTCCTAACAACCTCACATATTTAAGGAGAGCTATTTACAGGTTACGATCCACACAGCATCGGAGAATGTTAGTATACGGAGTGGTCAGCGCAAGACCATCGATTATTTTTGTATGTTGTGGATAGAAAAAGACAAAAAATATTATTGCAACACTCAAGGACTTGCTGTCTGTAGCTCTAAAACATAACTCGACGATGGATATCAAAATTATACAACCAGTAGACTACTGGAGAGCGATATGTTCTTTACAAGCCCTGACTATCAGTTTCACTCCAATAACTACAACTGTTACCTCGATCATTCATTCATTATTAGCATGAAAAGTGGATTCTACAAAACGTATTGCTCGCGTACATCACCTCAAGTTTCCCAACCCACGAAAAAGCAAGCAAGTCAAAATGACAAAAAAGGTTATTAATCAATTTATGAATAACTATTTTTTTTTAGATCTAGTAGGTGCGGCCGACAATTCGTGATGTGCACCCAAGCGAAGTGAAATCAATTCGGTCGCTGCGACTGACGATCTTGTGGAAGTGGTGGGATGGACCACTGTACCACGCAGTCTGGGGTGATTTGTTGAGGGAGGAAGTTTATTTGAGGTGATATTTTGCCGTGAGAGATTCACTTTTGGCTGGTGGATTTGGTGGTTCGGGTAGGTTGGGAGTGGAGGAGAGTGGATGTGAGAGGGAGTATGAGTTTTTGTTTGCTATTTTAGATGTGACATATTAGGAGTTTTGAGTATGTAGAACAAGTAGGAAAGTCTATCTGCTTTTAAAGACGTGGAAGTTACTGATCAAAATTAATGCGCTATATACAAACTCAAACAAGCGCGCTTCTATACCCAATCTATTACCTCCCAGTACCTCCAGCCCAACTCTCTCCACATTCAATCCTTCCTCAAACCCGCCAACTCCAGCCTTTCTCTCACCGCCCAATCCATCCCCTCCCTAATATTCTCTTCCATATCATTCACGGGTCTATATCCCAACCTCTCCCTCGTCTTCTCAATAGAAAACGTCCTATCTTCCGTAATATACCTCCTCGTATGACTTCTCAGTTTCTCAGTTTCTCCGGCATCACCGTCCCAAAAGTACACGTCCAGTAAATACACTCCGTCACAACCGCAAGTCCAATCATGAACCATGCGGGAAAGACCCGGATATCTTTACGATCTACTGTAGTCCCAGCTGCGGCCCAGACTTTATGTGCGAAATCCCAAAAATGGACGGGATTTCCGTCTGTGATGAAAAATGCTTCACCCGCGATTCTCGGATTTATTTTCTCGTTTGTTGAACTAAATCAGATACCCTACTTTCAGGCCACTTCTATTTTAGACCACCCTTTCACACCATAAATCACTTTTTAAACCTATTAATATTTTTATCAATATAATAAAATTTAATTTAAATTTGTATATATAATTTTTCAATGTATTCTATTTATAAATAAGAAAGTTAGAAATTTCATTTTTGGTGTAAAAAGTGATCGAAAAGTGGCTCAAAACAGGGGTGGCCCGAAAGTAGGGTACCCGACTTATCAGCTTGGCGTTCCCTGAGAAGAGCTTTCTCGGCTAGTATATGAGCTCTTGCGGAATTACTAACAGAAACAAATTCCATCAAAGCTGTATTGTCCCCAATTTGAGAATGATGGTGTTTCTCTTGGAGAACTCCAAGCGTCCCTGGTGTCATCTGCACATCATGTTTACCATATATAGGAGCAATACGAAGACAGCGTGTCCTTAAACCTTTCGGATTATTGGCTTTCAAACCAGCGATATCTGCAATTGCTTTGGTAACCGTGTAGTAATTGAAATCCGCCTTTGAGTTAAGATCAATCAGAGGCTGTGTCTCATCATTAAAATGATAAGGAGGTTTCGATACAATAGTCAAAGATGTATAAACCAAAGCTTTGGTATACAAACTTCTCGCAGCGCAATCGAGAAGATTTTGCGTTCCACGAACATTGACTTCGTAGAAGAGATTTGCATTTGCGGTATTTCCAAAGGATACGGGAGATGCGACGTGGAAAATTAAAGTTGGTTTGATGAGGTCGAATAACAACTTGATGTCTTCTGGTGAAGTTAGACTCCCCGCATGGTATGAAACACCGGGTTGGACATTCACAGGGGGATTGCGCAAATATACGTCTACGGAATTGAAGGATGGTTCTTGTAGAACTGCTTGGACGATGTGGTAGCCCATACATCCTCATCCACCGGTGATAAGTACAACTTCGTCGTCCATGTCGAATTACAGGATTTGAATAGAAAGAGACTCTGAGTAAGAATCATGCGCACTTCGCTCACGTAACATCTTTGAGAAAGAAAAATGTTTCCCAAGATATCTCCGACATTGAATTACCAAAGAAGATTCCATTTTAGATTTCTGTTCTAGAACAACTGGTCCATATTATTGAACCAGCTTTTTAGAACCAAGGGTTCATGTAGAGTAAATTAGCAACCCAACTTGATTGACCGCTCAGCTCGGGTAAATATCCACCACCGTCTGTGCCGTACATACAACATGATGCCAACAAAATTGCAGTCACCCTGGAAAATTCGGGCACCACATTGTCCTGGGCAACCATGTTACCGGTAAATTACTATCTAAAGGCCATGTTCGAGAAAAGAATGGTTGGAATATCGAAATTGAAGCATTTCCTTCCCCAGTATTCATCAATTCATACCCGGAGTCAAGCGAATCGACAAACACCGATCTCACAAGACTAATAGACCTCATTCTCTCCCCCAACTTTCAAGACTTCTCCATTCATCCATGCTATCCCAAACCCACTCAACAAGTTCACCAAGCATCCCGCTGCAGATAACTCTCATCGTGCGCTACATCTGCCCACCCATGCCTTTTCTCTTTTCCAAAATACACCTTCGCATTTCCCAGCCTCGCAAGCTCAACCCCCAATTTCGCAAGTCTCTCTTCCTCCCAAGAGCCCTTCAACGAATTGTTCGTTTCGCCATGCAACCCACGGGATCTCTTCATAAATCCCGAATCGCCTCTTTGAGATCCAACCTCACCTCGCGAAAGCGAATCTCCACCATTTTTCCAGAAACTCCCCGATGCGAATGAGAGTTTCGATTTCAAAGCCAAGAAATGTGGAATACATTGACGGAGAAGATTCCACGTTGCCGGCATACAGGAAACAATTACTCCGATGAAAATTTCTGCCAATCTATTTGCGGTTAAGAAACCATATTTGAATGTAAGGAAAGAGAATACTTACGAACAGATAATAAAGTTCTGAAGAGCATACGTCGTATCTTTCGTATTACTCTGTTTGTTGATGAATCGATAATAAACGCTCAGCGCAGAAGCTATGCATGCACTATCCCAAATATCAGTCATTAGAAAAATTTCGTAGCCCCAAAGATGAAGATAAATCAAATCAAATCAAAGCAAACCACCACAAAGAAAACACCCACAAAATGCCTGTCAAAAATACAATTCCCACAACTACCTTCCTCCTCCACGGCAAACAAAGCTCTCCCACCGCCTTCAACGGCAACCCCAACAAAAACAAATCAATCCCCAATCCCACCGCCGACCAAGGCGAAGCGTAGATTTGCGCATACTGTTGTTCCATGGTAAAAAGATGCGTTTGCCATGTTTCGTCTGCGTGGGGGGAACTCCAGATAATCATCAGGATACCGGTTGTGGAGTAGAAAGAACGGTGATGCAGATTCCGATGTAGACGCATGTGCGCAGCCATTTAAATGGACGGAAGAGATCGAGATAGAGGAGGAAGAGGGTGAGTTTTGTGAGGAGGAGAGTAGGAGATACGAGGGCGTTGCTGAGGAAGGCGACGGCCTGGGGGTTTGGGGGTGGGTTGTTAGTTAGGGAGCATAAGAGGAGGAGGAGGGAGGGAAGGGGAGTATTACGATTATAAAGTCGTTGCTTGTTACATCCCCGATCGTTACGTCCCATTGGTGTTTTCCTACTGGTCCTCGGGTTACACCTAATTTCATAGTGTTAAAAAGAATCGAAGGTTGTGTTTTGATTTCCATGAAAGTAACTGAGAAACTCACCAATAATCGAAGCAATATAATAAGCCACCGCGAACGCCTTCCAAAACGAAACAAAATAAATCAACTCAAGCCACTCAAACAAACAGACAAAAAATCACTCCCCATCCGAATTACTCACCGTAGCAAACAAACAGCTCACTATCCCAACTCCCATTAGCAAAGTTCCCAAGAATAACCATTCTAATCCAATCCCATGTATAGAAAATAAATAAATCAAACTTACGATCCCCCCAAACATAACTCTTCCCCGTACATCTAACATACACCCTCGCGAAAAAACAAACCATCATGAAGAAAAAAAGCACAGAAGAAACGAGTATGAGTATGTATCCTTTACTTTCCGGATGTGCGAGGTTCGCTCTTACTCCCGGGGGCGGTGCCTGGGCCGGAAGATCGTGGAGAGAGGATAGGATTTGCGGAGGTGGACATGCTGAATTTATCTCGTTTATTGAGGGAGAGAAGGTATGGGAATGTAGTGTGAATCGTGATGAATCATTCACGAGTAGAAGTAAAGAATGGAACGCAAGATAAGCGAGCGAGAAGCGAGCATAAAAAATGCGAAAATCATGAAAGGTTCTCGAGTATCATATAAATAAGGTTACCTACTCACAATTGCGGAAACGCCAGACAGAAAGAATCAAAAGTAAGTCATCATGAATCAAGATACCAGCATGAAACAACCACTCGAAAATAGATAAAGTCGTACCTCCCCAACTTGGGGGTAAGGGCCAAGCGAAGCGGGGGCGGGGGCGGGGGCGAAGCGAGAATTGCCAGCCAGCGGGTGTACAATATGGGGGCGAAAAATCATCGGCATCTCCATCTTCAACACCCTGACTTAACTCAGCTCAACTCATGCCAAAAAATATCAATCTACGCATTTTTCCCAATTCCCAGACAAATTACAGTACGTTCCCTCCACCGCATCTCCCTTCGCCCATCTTTTTTCCCCTCTCCCTCGCACAAATACAAATACACAAAAACAGTCACAATAAAATCATTATCATACCCCTCTCCCCCCCCTCTCTCTCTCACTTACATTGCTAACCACCCCAAAACATTACCCCAATACCACACACACACACACACACACATACATCAAGAAAAGCAATCCAAATCAAACCAAACCATACACGATGTAGTGGGCCAATATCACTATCGTACATCGAGTAAGCGGATGTTTCTTGGAGTGCATGTTCTTGTGAGATTCGATTCCCTCGTGAAGAGTAAGCAGCTTTCAATGGTACAAGAAGAAAGATTTCATCAACATAACTACAGCGCACTTATCACCAAACACATGCACTTTCATAGGAACAAGCATGTTGTAAATTGACTATTCAATTTCCAGCCTCCGCACATCGGCATTGGCGTCCACCCATCCTTTTATCTATCTACCTATCTATTGATCTATCCTCCTAGTTACTGGACAAACCCGTCCTATCATAACTCAAACATTCATTTCAAAAAGACATTTATCAGGAAAGATTAGATCCCATCCACCCCGTCTATAAAGTACGCATAACGCAATTCTTTTCATATGACCCTATTGATCATGAAATCATAAAATGAAATTGCGAAGAACATCGCTTTTATATCATACGTGTCGATCCATCCAGAAATAAATGACCCTCTAATGGCGACCGCGTTCTAATGAATATGAACATATATGCAAGAAGCAAATTTTGGTATCTGACTGATTCCAATTCCATTATGATTCGTCATCAGTGTCAGCTGGATGAGGAGTACCCTTTGGAGAGTTGAGCCTAAGATATTATTAGTATGATGTACGACTATAAAGTTTAGCAAACAGGAGATCAACTAACCATTCAATGTGTCTAAGTCTCTTTCTAACTTCAGACTCCTTAAGTTCCTTCTTGGTCTTCTTCTTCTTCTTCTTGGCCTTGAAGCCAAGATCCCCATTATCCTCTGCACCACTGTTAACAGCACTGGCACTAGCACTTGTTGCAGCACTTGCAACACTGCTGTTGAAACCACTTGATGGTCTGCTATCTTCGAAACGATCAGCTGAGATAGCCATGGTACCCTTGTGAGTAACACGACCAGCAACAACATGCCATTGCTCAGGGCAAAGAGCACCAACGAATTCTTCGTTGTGAGAAATCATAACGACACCACCCTTGTAGTCACGAATAGCAACAGCGAGACCTCCCAAAGAATCACGATCCAAGAAATTGGTAGGTTCGTCAAGAACCAAAAGATGGGGGTTGTTCCACATAGCTCCTGCGATAACAACCTTGACCTTTTGTCCTCCGGAAAGACCGGAGATCTCGTTGTGGTTGGCGATTTCAGGGTCAAGTCCAAGATCCTCGAAATGTTGAGAGATAGCAGTTGGAGTAAGCTCACGGAAACCAAGACCTTCACGAGATGCCTCATGGTCGTCGAATTCCTGGATCAACTTGTTGAAACCAAGGGAAACCAAAGTTTCTCTAGAGATTTGAGAGTTGTTACTTTGGCACATTCCAACCCACTTAATCTCGTATTGGAAAGTCTTCTTGTACTTTTGACGTCCCATGATAGCTTCGATACGCTTTGCACCGGTTCCATCACCGAGATCAATCATCTTTTCCATTTGAGCTTTATCTTCATCAGACAAGATACGTGTTTGCTTCATGTGTACCTCACGATCATCTCCGTTAGCATAACGCCATTGGAGATATTGGTTGGGGGTCTTTTCCAAATGCATCTCAACGTGCTCCAAAGCGTGTTGCTTGATGTATCCAATACGCAAGTTGGGATGTTTGTAAACATTACCAGAAGTTGGGATGGTTTCACCAGTAAGAAGCTTGATCAAAGTAGACTTTCCGGCACCATTACCACCGATAATGGCGGTTCTGGAAGACAAAGTCAATTGACAGGAAACCTCGTGAAGAGATGGCTTGGTAGCTCCCGGATAGGTGTATGAGCAGTTGGACATTCTGAGAATGGCTTTGGTTTGAGATTTAACACCAGTAAGAATACCTGGAGGAGGAAACTTGAATTTGACAAGAGAGTCGGAGAGAGTGTAGTAACTCTTGGCTTCTGGCTTTTGCTTGACGAAAGCAGCAAGGTTACCCTTGTAGACGGCAAGCTTCTTTCCTGGCTCGTAATGATAGATATCGGTACAGACTTCATCCAAGAATCCGGAGTCGTGAGAAACAATCAAACTGGTGATTTCGGTGTGGGCCTTCAAGTATTCTTGTAACCATTTTACGTTGGCAACATCCAAGTGATTGGTAGGTTCATCAAGGAGAAGAACATCAGCCTTCATCAACATAGCTCTGGCTAAAGCAAGCTTCATCTTCCAACCTCCAGAAAGGGATCCAACCTTCTCAGATTGACGACCTTCTGGACCAGCAGTGAAGCCGACTTCGCACAAAACCTCGGAGATACGTTCACGACCTTCCTTGGCAATTTCTGGATCCTTTGCGACGAAGTCCAAAATGCTAATATCAGCATCTTCACCTTGGTTGTGTTCAACGAAGCATGTTCGGAGTTCATCTTGACTTGGGAAACCCTCGAGTTTGCCGTTTGAGATGGCTCTCATAAGAGTCGACTTTCCGGCACCGTTGCGACCACAGAGACCATATCTGTGACCCTTAAGAAGGCGTAGGTTGGTGTGGTTGAGTAGAAGCATACCTCCGTATGCCAAGGAGAAGTTTGTGTTGACAATTTCAATTTCACCATCATCCTCCTTGATTGGTTGTCCAAACTTTCGGTGGTCTTCCTCAAGGTAGAATTGTTGAACAGCATCACCAACAGTAGCGGCTGATCCTTCCTGCTTCATGATGTGCTCAAGGTAGGGTGTGACGTTGGCAGCAACACGTGCAATTTGACGATGGTTGACATCCTCAACGAGCATATCAGAGATGTATGATTTTGTGAGTTTGGCGATATCCGAGTTATCGGCAAGTCCTCCTGCCTTCTTGATCTCAGCTTCGAGAACCTTGGAAACATCAGCAGCAGTGATTTTAGTGACGTGTGCGACACCGTTAGCAACGTTTCCGGCATCATCGCTCATAGCCTTGTCCATGACTTTCATGGCACGATCAGCCATCTCTCTGACTTCTGGCAAGGATGCACGTTCCAAAACACCCTTGATACCAGGTTGCAACTTTGGCAAGAAAGTACGAGCTTCAACGGGGTCGTGAACCAACTTTGTCAAGTTCTCAACAACGACGACGGTTTGTCTCAAAACTTCTTGTGCGGTAGCGCGGTCGTTAAGAGATCTCTCGAGAAGGGGTGTGAGGAGAGCAAGAACGGGAGATGTTACAATGGCAACGAAAGTGGTTTGAGACAAAGCGTGGATAGCCTTTTGGAGGGTCTCCTTTCCTGGCTTTTGCATGGTTTCGATCAAAAGTGGGATTCTGGGAGCAACATCGTCGTTGGAAAGAAGGGTGGTCAAAGAAGTCATAGTAGTGACAGATTGCTTCTCAACCTCGGACTTCAAGTCGTGCATTCCAGCCTCGACGAGAGGAATCAATTGTGCCAATTTTGCACCCAAGATTTCTCTCAACAAGTCCTTCTCATCAGCTTCCTCCTTGCTGCCACCAATAGACATTTGTGCCTTGTCTGCCATCTTTTGTATTAACTTGAATGCAGCGACAGTTCCTTGCCACTTTCCGGTTCGTTTGGCGAGATAAGCAATGAGGATTGGGAGGAGACCATAGACGAGAGCTTCAGCGTTCAAGTTGGAGAATAATGCGTCGAGAGCATACTGAGCAGCATCGCGAACGACAGCGCCCTTGTCGGCGAGAGCGTCGAATGCACATGGTACCAAGGTAGTATCTTGCAAAAGGAAGACAACCTCAGAGATCTTTTGCTTAGGAGGGAAGCGTTCAAAGAGAGCACCCAAAAGATTTTGAGCGCTTTCTCTTCTCAATCCACTCTTTTTATCAGCCGCAGCCTTCTTGATTTGTGCCAAGATGCCATAATCTTGAAGTCCGCGGAAACCGACGGAGTTGAGAAGAAGGTCGCAGAGAGCGTACGATGCATCGACTGATGCGGCGGATGTCTTTGCTTCGAAAATGCTATCGAGGATACCGGAAACTTCCTCTTGTGTGGGGGCAACACCATTTGCTGCCTTCGAAATCATGGTAGGCATCTCGTGAGTGGGAGATTCCTGATGTGGCATTATAATGCCTGGAGAAACTTTCGAAAGTGTGTAATATTAAGGTATCGATGTAATTCGTTTTCTAAATAAGGGAAATTTGAGTCGTGAGAAGAAAATTCTTTGAAAAATGGGAAAAATGTGTTCTTTGGGTCGAGAGAAACCTAGTATTGGTCGCAATTCGCAAAGATTGTCGGGATTTTGGAGTGGAGAGTTTCTGACCGAGCAGAATGAAGTCTTTGAAGAAGTGAGAAACAAGAAGACTTGAATCTCGTTTTTTCTATGTTGAAGTTGTATCTTGGCCGCGTGTGGCTAAGATAATTATCAAAAAGAAGGGTTTGGGGGAAGAGGAAGGATGAAGAGAAGAGGAAGTGTATGAGGGGTGAAGAAAAAAAGATTATAGATAATGGAATTTTTTGGTGGGTGGGGGAGCGCAATCAGCTTGTGCCACTAAGGAGTTTGGAGTTAGAAATCACATGTAAGACAAGACCAGACAAGACCCTACGGGAAAATTCAGACATTTTGAGGAAGATGTAACTACTTTGGGTTTAGCTTGTGAGGTAGTATGTGACACTTGCGTTGAGTCTTTATCAAACCGATTATTAAGTTGGAGATGGAAGAGATCTCATTGGTTGAAATGAGTAAATGCCAGATATGAAATTCATGATTGGTTCATATGCAAAACTGAAACTTCCCATCTCTTTTATTGAGGAAACTGAGGACCCACACGTGACCCATTAAGGGTCTTTTTTTGATCAAGGATTGATAGGAGGTGGGTGGGCACGCACTGGGTATCGGCTGGAGTGAGTGGGTGGGTATTTAGATGGGCATTAGATAATCCATGGATCCGTGGATATGGATGATTGCTTGATTGCCGATACCGACTCAATCCGAGCTTTCTCCTGAGATTTCCTAGTCATGATAAGAAAATAATAATTCGAATGGCCGGCATTATCCAATATGAGTCTTTGATTCCGTCATAGAATTCCCGTGCTCAATTATAAATCTATATTTATATTTAGTTTTCATACAAATATGACTCGGCGTTGTCTCCTAAGTATATCTTCATTTTTATATGTTCTGACTTGTACTCATACCCAGGTACATTGCATTCACTACCCTCCTTATCTTTCGTTTGTTCGAGTACCGGTACTCAATTGTTGATTCGTCAATTCGTCAATCCGTCAATCCATCATACCAAGACTCGGTGACGAATTCGACCAATTATGGTGAAAGCCCCCTCAATCGAAGAATCGGGTCCTGCAGCTCAAAGTTCCCTTCCAACAACAGAACTTCCTTCTCCCAGCCGATCTCATAATGCTTCTATTAAAGAATCCCATGATTCTCTATGGGCTAGAACGAAATCACATTTCAGTGAAGAGATAACTCTCGTTCATGCTGATTTGCCAATGATAGCATGTGCTCTCGTATCCGGTATCTGCGACAGTAGTGCCTACAATGCTTGGACATGTTTTGTTTCTATGCAAACCGGTATGCGTTTCTGCAATATCTCTGTCTGCTGTCAATATTTATGCCATGTTCATCACTAATACATCTTTCTACAGGTAATACCATCTTTCTAGCTCTCGGTGCATCTGGTCAACCAATCAGTCATCCATTCGGTTGGGTAAAATCCTTAATTTCCATATTCTTCTTCCTCTGCGGTTGTCTCTTTTTCGCACAAACACGACGATTCGGCGCCGGAAAGATTCGCGGGATCCTATCCATATCATTTCTATTACAAGGAATTTGTATCATAATCGCTGCAGCATTGGTACAAAGAAATGTGGTACCAGAACCACTTGGGGTCAAGTCAATCGAGGATGAAGTCAATTTTATCGAATTGATTCCCTTAGCATTCCTGGCATTTCAATCGGGTGGTCAAATTGTTACATCGAGAATTTTGGGCTTCAATGAAATTCCTACTACGGTTTTGACCAGTGTCTACTGTGACATTGCTTCGGATCCAAAGGTACTTGCACGAAATAATGTGAAGAGGAATAGAAGAGTAGGAGCGGTTCTTGCTATTCTTTCTGGTGGAATTGCTGGGGGTTGGATCAGTCGAAGTTCGGCTGGTTTATCTGCTGCTCTCTGGCTTGCTGCTGCTATAAAAGTTGTGATCTCTTTTAGTTGGGCGATATGGAAGCCAAAGCCAGTCGCTTTGGCATAAATGGTTGTTATGAGGGGAAGAATACGGAATGCCGGCTTTGAGTCTCACTGCCCATGGGTACAAGATACTGGATCATGGAGCACGATCTACTTCAACACTCTGGAAGAAGTCTATATACCGTGTTAAGTCATTTCTTTCGTGGAAAGGGGAAATAATCGTGAGTCTGTACATTTCTACAACAATACCAGTTCTTACATATATAGGACATAATTTCAAATGCAGATGGGGGAAGGACTAGTATTGTCTAATTTAATAAGAAGATGTATTCAATGGTACAAAAGATGTATTTAATAGCAGAGATGTATTTAAAAGCAGTATCTGTTTACAGAATTAATATCATACATAGATTCAACAATTAGACTTATGATTGTGTCATCAATATACTCATGATCCAATACAACCCTCGGCAGTAAATGATGAAAAAAATATCACAACCTCGAATTTTGAGGAAAAGAGAGAAACAGAAGAGAAAAAGCCATCATGTGTGATTGCTCAAGAGAAGGCGAGGCTAGCAATGGTGTTTTGGCTAGATAGTGCGATGCTGAAGTTCGGAGTTTAGACGGGAGAATGACAGTATGGAGGGGATGTAGGTGGGTGGTTTTGAGGGGGAGTTTGAAGGGGAGTTTGAGGGTGGTATAGTAGGTGGTATAGTGGGTGGTATAGTAGGTGGTATAGTGGGTGGTATAGTGGGTGGTATAGTGGGATGGATACATGAAGTTGGGTATTGGATTGGGGCTTGAATTGGGGTGTTTGGAATTGGACATTGGGGGATAGGGTGATGATTGGGATTGGGATTGGGGGATAGAGTGATGGGGAGAGGAGGGCGATGAGGGTGATAAGGGGGAATGAGTGATATATAATATATAATGTGTACTGTATAGTGTACTGTATACCTAGTCCATGATATATTAATATATATAATATATAACATATAAATACAATACCTAATAATCACGCAGACAACTCGAGTGACAAAAATTCTTATGGCAATTTATAGGGAGAGAGATATAGATATCGGTATTTATTTAGAGATGGGAAATATTTATTGTGTTGTGTTGTATTGTTGTATGGTATAGTACAGGATAGTATAGTATAGTATCGTATAGTATATTGAGGGAGGGTTGGGGTTGGGAGAGGGAAAGATGGGGGGATGGGGGGGATGAGGGGGATGAGGGGATATTAAGGTAAAGATTATTCAGAAGCAGAAGCATAGATATGAAAATATGAAAATATGAAACTGTTCTGACTTTTGATTTTGATTTTGGAAGTGTGGTGGAGTCTGTGAGATGGAATGGGATGAATGGTTAATTTTATTTTGGGAGTTGGAACTTGGAAGTGTGATGGTGTGATAGGGTTTGTGAGATGAGATGGGATGGAAGAGATTTGTGATTATAATGGTGAATTTTCTAAGTTTTTGATAAGTAAAGAAAAATAGAAGAAAAGCTGAAGATGGGAAGAAAATGATATAAATCAGATTTAACATTGAGTTCAGAAGAATAGAGAAGACATAAATCGAAGGAGTCATTGAATGAAATCTCGGATTGTAGTTTAGGATATTAGCTTGAGATTTTTTTTTTTTGCTTCTTCTTTTTTGTATGATTTCTTCGTAGGCTGAAAAGATTAATATAATGAAATAGACGATTAGTTTTATTAAGTGATCTTAGATTTATAGTAATCGTATGGGAAGAGGGGAAATAGTTGATTTGTTAAATAGTGATTTGATGAGTAGATATAATATATTCGTTATAGGGGGAAAAGATATTAATAAGTGATAAGCGAGTTGTTCTTTCTTATTTTGAATTTTATGGATTTGCTGAGATGATTTAAAGAACTTTGGCCCTGTTTTGGAATATGTTGGCGGTTTGGGTTGAGTTGGTTTTGTATGTATATACGTATGTTGTATTGATTGATTGATTGATTGATTGATTTTATTAACGTCCATCTTCAGTCCAAGACTATATAGGACAACTAGGCCCTAAGGGCCTAATGGATAACTTTTTAATTTATAATATTGAATATAATCTAATTAAAGAAATGAAAACCAAATACTGAGGAATAATATCCGCTCATTATACACATTATATATAATAAAATTTTTTTGAAAATCAAGAAATTGTAAGGAGGTTAAACCCCTTTCTTATTTCCTCAACTACTTCTTTTTTATTCTTTTTTTTTTTTTTTTTTCTATTACTACTCCTTTCTTTATTACTTCTTATTCAAGAATCCTTACTAAATACCATACCCTTATAGCGATTTTGATAATATTGATAAATTGATAGTTAATTCGATACCTATTTTTATATACAATAGGAATTGTATAGTGTTTTTGATTAATAGTATCTTCTTAAAATCTTTTTTCTTTCTGTTTTATATATCAAATAACTAATAAGGAGGTATTGAGGTGTCTTGATATTATTATATCTGTATTTATTATTGATAAATTTGAAGCAATATAAATAGGATTTGATATATTCATAACCTAATTTGAGTTGAAAGAATATACTAATAATATTTCGAATAGTTCCGCTTGATAGCTTGATTTTCGAGCCAATTTTCTATGGAAATAGTTTCGAGTAAGTTGATAGGGATTGGTTTGATCTGAGTTTGTATTAATTGAGAGTATTAAGCCATTGATCTGAAGCATATTCTTTGATAGTTATATCTAGTAGTTCAAAGCTTGTTTCGTTCGAGATAGGTTGTATTGTAATTGCTTCTTTTGCTAGTTTATTTGCTAATTCATTTCCTTCAATTGAGATATATCCTGAGACCCAGTTTAAAGATATTTCAGCTCCTTTAGTTTTGATAACTTCCGCCGCTTTGATTATTCTTATTGATATGCTTATCCTAAATAATCTAAAGATATCTTTAAACGATATAAACCTGTTTGATTGTTTGAATAGATTTTGAATTTTTAACCAGTATAAGCAATTGAGCTAGCATATTCGATAGCTCTTGTAACTCCACAAAGCTCTCCATTATATACCAATTGATTAATACCAATATTGCTTCGCTCTTGATATAAAATTCGATTATTTGACTATATAGCCACTATACCTACCTCAATACCTACTCCCTTTTCGATGGAGGAGGCATCAGTGTAAATATAAGTAATATTCTTATCCCTATGATTGAAAACAATATTGTAAAGAGTAGCAGTATCTTCTTTTGACGAATTGCTAATATTAACTCTGAAAGGAATTTCTCTTTT